GAGCAGGAGCCAGTCGAATCCGAGATAAAATGACGCGCCGATGTGTTAAATGACGTAAATAAGCATAAATATATAAGATATATGTTGAGCATATTCTATGAGGCGCGGAGGGAATTTGAAGTGCCAAATGAGCCCGGGATGGAGATATAATCTTTGGGAGGTTTTTGTGAATGCAGAGCTTGTAGTGCAATTTAGGCAAAAAATGTCGGCTGTGGGATTTGAACCCACGCGTACGAATACATCACGACCTGAACGTGACCCCTTAGACCACTCGGGCAAACCGACGACCTTGTACCAAACTGCATTCACGATGCATATACACACAACCAAATGCCGACACACATACAAACTTCAAGTATATAGTGTTTTTACTTTTCTTCCATACACATTTTATCACTTGAAGTCGTCTGATTCTCAGATTCAAAGCAACTCCCTCTGTGGAGTGCGAGCGAATCCACTCGTTCGTCGCTGCGTTGCCAGCGAATAGGAAAACTATTCGACATCACCTCAGCCTGCACCGCAGCCTATTTGGTTGTCCGTTGATCGCGTGTTGAAGTCGAATGAAGTGGAAGCAATGTATTGATGCAGCTGGTTTGAAAACAGTTTTTGAGTAAAGAACAAAGCGTGCGCTTGTGACGTATTTGTTTTCTATGGTAGATGTGCGTCGTAGGGTGCGAGAGGACGTATTGGAGCGTCATGTGATGTTTAAAGTGTGTGAGAAAGATAGTTTAGTAGCGTGTATTGACCACTTGATGAATGGGAAAAATAAATATATAAGAAGAAGCCCTAATGGTCTAGCGGTATGACCGGCAAATGAGTGTATATTGATATTTCGATCCCCGGTTGGGGCCTTTCCTTTTCATTTTTCGCACTCGATTCAAACACTCTCATACTTGATATTCCATACCACACCTTTCTATCTTGATCACGGCTCGGGGTGACGTTGGCGCGCTGCCAGACCCCGAGGTCGTATAAATAGACCTACGAGGTCGGGCGTCGGAGTGCAGGCCGCCGTTGGCGTCCGTGGGAGAGCGGGTCGAGGCCGATCGCTTGAAGGGCGGCGTCGATGCGGTCGCGAGGTGCCTTGGGGTCGTTGCGCGGCCATGCGCGGACACACGAGAGCCACAACTCGCGGGTCTCGTTGCCGGCGACCGGCATGACAAAGGGCGTCTTGGCTTCGAACTTGATCTTGTTGCGGTTGGTCCAGATGTAGTGCAGTGTCGTGGCGACGAGGCTGAACCAGAGGCGGTAGAAGACCTTGTAATCCTTGGCGTGCCGCCGCGGCACGTCAAACTCTTCCGGGTGCAGCACGGTCTCCCAGGACCACGAGATGCCCGCCCGCGACCACGCGGCCAGGTGCCACTCCCACAGAGGAGCCACCTCGGGGCAGTCCCAGAGGGCGTGGCGCTCGGACTCGACAGCAAAGCAGTCGGCGCGCGTGCAGTCGAGGGCGTGGGCGTCGGTGTCTTGCTTGAAGACGAACTTGTAGTTGAGCGGTAGCATCTTGAAGAGCATGCGGAACCAGAGGTCGCTGTACACCGGCGCCGCAAACTTGTACGACGCCTGGAACGCGGCTTGGGCGGCCTCGATCTCGTATAGCGACGGGCGCAACTCCGACATCCATGGGTGATTGTGCACGTCCGTGACGGCGGGGCACGTCGAGGCAGTGGCGTAGAGGACGTCGCGCGTCGCCGCTTCGAGGGAGACCGGGGCGTCTGAGAACGGGATGAGCATAAACGGCGTGCGCGTACCGAGGGGCAGCGCCGGGAACACGATGCGGGAGTTGCGCGAGTCCGTGCAGGCACGGCGCCAAAGCTGCGTGACGTCGTTGTAGAGCGTGGTGAGCGACAGCGGCCTGGGCGCGTCAGAGCCTTCGACGCGAGCCGTGACGAACGCCGTGAACTGCTCAAGCGATGGCCAGCCTTCGCCCGCGTACATGCAAGAGCGCAGTGTTCGAAGCCCCGAAGCGGCGACCGCGGCGTAGAAAGGACGGTGGGAGCCGAGCTTGACGGCGAGGCACGATTGCTGGGTCACCGAGCGTGTCAAGAGGAACGCCGGGAGCACTTGAAGCCAGATCGGAGTGTCGACAAGGTCGGCCAGATGTTGCAGCGCCGTCGGGGCGACGCGCGACTTGAGCGACCACGGGATCTTGTACCAATTCGTCCAGATGTCACGCCAGAGCTCCGACACCTCGTCGAGGCTGATCAGCTCCGTCGAAATGCACGGATGGTAGTACAAAAAGTCCGGGTAGTCGGGCCGACCGAACGGCGCGACGCAGTACTCGAGCTGCCAGCTGGCGAGGCCAGCCCACTGTTGAGTGTCGTCGGCACATAGGCACAGCATGAGCTGCAGCCGCGCCAGACGTTGGAAGGCAATCATCGAGGCGACGTGAGGCAGGTTCAAGCCGACGGCCGGGTCGTGCATCACCGGCGTACGGACAAGGATCATGCTCTTGTCGCTTGGCCGGGACTTGCGGCAGATGACGTAGCGGTTGATCATAGCTTGCCACTTTTTGAGTCGGTCCGGCGGCACCACGACGATCTCGGTGTAATACCGGAGCATCGACATGACAATGGCTTGGACGATGAGGCGGCGACCCCGGATCGTGCGGCCGCGCACGCCCCATGTACTGAAGCACTTGTAAAAACGACTGTCGAGGACGGCGAGGCGGTCCGCGTTGCCGATCTTGTGGCCAAAGTTGACACCAAGATACTGGACCACGACGCCCGAGGGCACCAAGTTGATTCCGGGCCAGCCGCCGACCGGCCGTTGGTTGTTGAGGACGATGGTCTTGCTCTTGTCGCGGTTCAGTTGGGCTCCAGACCCGGCGCAGTACGCGTCGACGATCTCGAGTTGGTCCACGAGGCACGCGGGGCTGTCCGAGAAAAGCGTGACGTCGTCGGCAAAGAGCGCGCCACACGTCCAGTAGCCGCACGGCAGCGGGATGCCCAGTCCATCCTTGGCGCGCAGCATCTCGCTCAGCGGCTCGATCGTCAGCACGAAGAGCAGCGGCGAGAGCGGGCAACCTTGCTTGACACCGCGGTTGGGCCAAATGGGCGGCGCCTTGTGGCCGTTGATGAAGATGGAAACGACCGGGCCCATGTACAAGAGGCGTACCCACCGCGTAAACTCGGGCGGGATGCCGACTTGGGTCATGCAACCGAACATAAAGTTCCAGTCGACGCGGTCGAAAGCCTTGGAAAAATCGAGGAACGTCGCGAGGCCCTGGTTGTCGATGTCGTCGAGACGTACGTCTGAAGCGACTCGAGCAAGCACAAGTTGTCGTGGATCCGGCGTCCGCGGACGAACCCCGTCTGCATCGGGTGGATGAGCGACGGCAGCACGGCCGCTAGACGATGGGCCAGCACGCGAGAGAGCACCTTGACCTCGACCGACATGAGCGTGATCGGACGGTAATTGCTCGGCAGCTCACGGTCGCCGTTCTTGTGGAGCATGATGACCGCCGACTCGCGGTGACGCCGCAGCATCTGGCCACGAGCAAGTTGCGCGTCAAACACGATGCGCAGCATGCGGCCAAAGAGGTCGGGGTCCAACTTGTAAAATTCGGCGGAAAACAGTCGAGGCCTGGCGCTCCCTTTGCGCGCATCGTCCTGATCGCCGAGGCAAAGTCGGCGTCCGTCAGCGGCGCCGCGAGAGCAGCCTTCTGGGCGTCCGTGAGGCGTCGGCTCAGACACCGCGTCACCTTGCGGCGCACACGCCGGTTGGGCGCTGTACCGTCGGCGCGGGTAAAAACCGATTTCCAGTATTCTTGAAACGCTCGTGCAACGGCAGCGGCGCCGGTGACCCGGCGGCCCTCGACGTCGATCGCGCCGGCGACCGGCACGCGCTGCATGTGCGCCTTCGGCGGTGTGAAGAACGCAGTCGACGACGTTTCCATCTGCTTGAGCTGCTCGTTGTAAAAAAACCGGCGATCGCGCGCGGCGCGCCGGCGAGCCTCCGACGCCGCCTGCGCCGTGGCTCGAGCAACTTGAAGGTCGGCGTCCGAGACGAGCCCCGCAGCATAGTGCCGCTTGGCCACCGCGAGTCGTTGTTGTTCGTGTCGGATCGCGGCTTGGTCGGCTTGGTGACGGTGGTGCTGGATGTCCTGCAGCACCTTGCGCACGCGCTTCATCCAGCCAGACCAGACCCGGGTTGTTGGCGGCCTCGAGGACTGGGAGGAACGCCTGCGCCTCGGCCAAGACCGTGGCGCGGACATCGTCGTCAAGTAGAAGCTCGCGCGGCAGCTTCCAGTAGCCCTTGCCGGGTTCCACACCGGGCGGACTCGCGCGGCCCGTCAGGTTGTGCGTGCGCCACGTGTCGACCCCGTCCAAGGTGAAGATCTATTCGAGGCCTGCGTCACGGCCTGTCCAGTGTTGCGCACCGACGTTGGCGACGTCCCGACGCAAGTCGAGCGGCATGTTAAGGTCGCCGAGCACGATGTGGCGCGCGTCGTCTTCGAACGCCGTCGGCAGCGCCTCGTAGAAAGCGCGTCGGGCGTCGTGTTGCACCGGCGCGCGAATGTTGTGAATGTAGACGACCGTGTTACCCCAGCGCATTTGCAGCACGTGGTAGCGGTCGACGACGTCCAAATGTCTACGCCAGTAGATGCCCTCACGTGTGGCCCCGTGCCAAGCCCGACTCCCAAATGGCTGGTTCGACTACACAAGGTTACCGAGCCATTGACCCTGACGATGCCCGCCGACGTCGTGCCCCGCCAAGGACGCGCTTGCAGCTTCCGACCCGCCACCTGGGCGTCGATGAAGACTCCTACGAGACGCCGGCTGCCGTATCCGCCGCAGCCGAGCTCCGACTACCCGATGCCATACTACCCAAGTACGCCGACTTCGTCTACCAAGTGATGCTTCGCGTGGTCAAGTTCCGCGCACATTTGCACTGGCTCAACAGGGCCGACCAAGCCTGCCTCTTCTGCCCCGAGCACGAGACGGACCGTCACTTCCTCGTCGACTGCGACTTCATCAAGGACGTGTGGAGCACGCTTCACGCCGTCACGGTCCCTTTGGGCGTGACCTTGCCGATAACGCTCTCAGGCTACCTCTACTCGACGCCCACGACGGCGTCCAACAGGCACCAAGCCGCGTTCCGCTACCTCTGGCCCGTACTCCGCGCCTGCGTCTGGTTCAACATCTGGCGAGTCCGGAACGATCGCGTCTTTCGCGCCGACCTACCGCTGCCAAATTCATGGACGATTGCCGTCAAGGCGGCGCGTGTCGCTCAACTGCACGTGCACCACAGCCTCGTACAAGAGCCCGAGCAGCCTGCTCTACGTCGGCTTCTCCGGCTCCTCGCCCAACACGAGTGGCCGCCACGTCACCTCGTCCCACGGATCGCGCTCCTGCCTAGATCAAGTTCCTCAACCGAGTGCACACAACGAAGAAAGTCTGACAATATTTTTATTTAGCATAGTTTATCTATTGTAAAAGACGACCCACTTCAACAACATCGACGTCCAAATGTTCGAGATATTCAAGCTCCGCAAAACCCGGGAACAACGACATGACTAAGGTCGCAATGCCGCCGCTCCGAGCGGCGCCCGACGATTCCAACGTCTTGCGGTGGTCCGTCACAGCGAGGAAATGCGCATCGTGGCCGAACGTTAAGTTGAAGAGGTTCGTGAAGCTAATAAGATGGCTGCAGTCACGCAGCTTGACCTCGTGCAGAGCCGTGAGCAAATACTGGCTGAGCAATCAAGAGGTGGCCGATGTCGGGAATGTTGTTGATGCTGATGGTAGCGAGAGAAAAAGCGGTGTAGAGGTGATGGTCGGGGGCCGCGGCCGCCTCAGCACTGGAGCGGCGCATGTCGGCGTCCCGCCAATGCCTTCGAGCACGACGTGGTAGCTGGTAGTGTACACCTTCTCCGCATTGCGCAGCGCCACGATGTCGTTGACGTGGCCACTCGGCACGTGCTCTTGGAGGTGGGCGACAATCGCTGCACCGAGCTCCGAGTATAGAAGGTTCAAAAGGCAGCGCGACGTGAGCATGCGCGTCGGGCTGGAGGTCGGCAACCAATCAATGGCGTGGCCGAGCACGGCAACCAGCATACAATATGTAGCATCATGTCGATAGTGATACGGCGCATGGAGAACGAGCGCGTATTCAAAGTACGCAAGGCCATTTCTGCCACCGCGGGCATCAGCGCGTCGTGGTAGTGTTCTGAGCGCTCCTGGAAGTGGGCGACCGCGTCGATGTAGTTGCCGCTGGTCGGCGCGCTGCCAGTGATGGCCTTGAAGCGATCGCAGAACGCTTGAGCCGGCGCTAGCGGTTTGGCCGCCGCGCACCAACGCCGCATCGTGTGCAGTCGTAGGATGCTCGACAGCATGAAAGGGTCGGTCTCGAAGAGGACGTGCAGCGCGGATTGGAAGCCGCTGCCTTCGCAAGTGGCGAGTTCCTACAACTTGTCCGCGTCCAGAGCCTTGATGGGCGTCTTGAGGTCCATGGGTGGGTGCGCCTTCCACGCGTCGTCGGATTGCGAGGTGAATGGAGGCCGCGTACGTGGCCTCATCTCCCACCATCTCGGCGATGAGCTCCGTGAGGTCCTGCAGCGAGAGGTCGTGCTCCTGCACGGCGAGCGAGTTGCGGCGCATCGTCAGCATTTGAATGCGGCCCGTGGAACTGGGACTTCTTGCCTGCCTTGGGGAGGATGGTCATGCACTTGGGGCGGCCTGGGTACACGAGATTGGCGCGACCTTGGGCCACGGCGTGGGAAAGTCGCCGGGCAGCCATTAGGCGTCGAGGTCGAGGGCGGCTTGTCCATCTCGTCGTTCTCAAGCTGCTCTTCCGTCTGCTCCGCTGCCACAAAGCCTTTGCGTCAATGCTGCGAGCCCACGGCGGCACGACACACAGACCCAGCCGGAGTCGGCCTTGTGAGCCGGAGTTTCTTCCGCAGCTGCGGGTTGAGCACATATCGGCTTGGAGGTACTAGTACGTTTCTCCAACCGGCGCCGTCGCGTACCGCCTTAGCGCGGGGTCGTCGATCGGATGTTCGAACGCCGGCCGCTTCTGAGCCTTGGCCGCAATAGCCAGCGCGTCGAGGTCGATACAGTAGGGCGAGACGCCGAGGTTGGCAGAGGCATTCTTGACAAAGGCCGTGTGGAGGCGCCCGTTGGAGCGGAGCTGCGCACGGAGCGGCCTGCCACATAGGTGCTCTCTTGACTCAAGAGAGCCTTCCAGACCAAATGCCTCCGGAGGCTCGTCAGCCGACACGAAGACCACGACTCTTCGTTGCTTTTTGGCTCGGGTGGTTATGTCCAGCCCATCTCATTGGCTGTTTTCTCACCGGAGGCTAGGTTTTCCCTCACTCGGATCTCTCTCGTAGTTTGTATGCCACATAATGTCCTCGATACATTCCGGGCCATTGGCTGCGGCAACGTCTCCAACGCTCACTTCCGTTTTGGTTCTGTCTGGCTCGCTTCCCGCTTGCCCGTTTGCCCCTCTTCTTTCTCTTCCTCCTCTTTGCTTCGTTCCTCTGCTTCGTGCCTCGCTGCTCAAGTGCCAGCTTGACCGACGGTTTGACACGGACGCAGTCTTCAACGATCGTTGACTGGACGTTGCGGTGGTTGGCGTAGAGCACGGGCACGTCGACGAGGTCGACGAGGGCGTGTCGCAGCGCCGTGATGTCTGGCATCTCGAAGTTTCCGTGTACGTCGAGGTACGCGCGGCGGTCCTCGACGGCGTTCTCGTCGTACTGCATGCGGTGCGTCCCGATGGCGCCGAGCTGCATGGTGCAGTACGTACCAGACATCGCGACGCTCACGATCATCTCGGGCCGTATCGTGACGCTCGGCCTCGCCTCGGAGGACGCCGCGCGCGCCCTACACCAGCGGCCCATGCAGCCCAGCGCGATCGGCAAGCACCTCATGCAATACGTCGAGAACTCGAGGACCGCCGCGCGTACCTCGACGTCCACGGAAACTTCGAGATGCCAGACATCACGGCGCTGCGACACGCCCTCGTCGACCTCGTGGACGTGCCCGTGCTCTACGCCAACCACCGCAACGTCCAGTCAACGATCTACGAAGACTGCATATACGCACGACCAAATGCCGACTAGTCACATAGAAACTTCAAATATAAATAGTGTTTTCTACTTTTCTTCCATACACCTTTTATCTCTTAAAAGATACCATTTCGTGCAGCCACCATTGAAGCAAACAACAACTCAGAATCAGCGAGGGGAGGACATGTGTCACCGGATACTACATACGTAGTCTTTGAAGTAGCCCCAGCACGCCGCGAAAATAAAGAAGCCACAAGTACCCAGAGAACCCGTGGGCTTCAATCGCCCGTCGATTCCGAGCTCTGTTGCTGATAATTTCTGAGCTGCGGAATGTCCTCGCCCACCATAGTCCTGTCCGTGCCTCGGTCCAACATCGTTCAAGTCATGAGGCTCAGTTTCCAATTTCCATTGCAGCATGCAGTTCTCGCCCAAGCTCGAGGACCCGATCCTTGCCCACGAAGACCAACCCACGCCGCGCCGCCGCACCAAGCTGCGCTGGATCGTCGGCGCCGTCGTGTTCTGCGGCGTCGTCTGCGCGTCGGTTGGCGCCCTCGTCGTGTACACGCACAAGGTGCGCAACAACGCCGCTGCCATCACGACCAATTTGCAGCAAGCACCCGGTCTCCTCGTCACGCTCACCGCCAAGCGCGCGAGCATGGACTTCAACGGCCAGACGTCGGCCCAAGTGTATGTGATTCCGCACACGGCGAGCGCTACGGGGGCCGTGTCGTTTGACGCATTCTTGTCGCATGTGGGCGCCAACACGACGCAAAACTACGTGCTTTTGGGCGGCCGCGCGTACACGTCGACGGTCCAGAACGGGGTGGTGGTCGCGGCGCAATGCCTCACCGCGTCGCAAGTGCCGCCGCTTCAAACTATCCAGTCAGTGCTATCGCAAGCCAAGGTCATCGATACGGTGTCGGGTACGATCACGGCGCCGAATTGCAACGATGGCCAGCTCTTGCACCTCCAATTTGCGGGCGAGTCGTTCGTTTTCTGCAACTCGCCCGAGAACAAGCTCACGCACGCGACGGGAAGCGACTTGGACCTTACGGTCGAGTACCTCGCGGACCCGACGGCAATCCCTGACTTTGACGTACCTCAAGTCCCGGGCGCGGCTCCGCTCAGCTGCCCCGTCGTCGTGACCCCTTCGGCCGTGGCCACAGAGTCGGCGACGCTCGCCGAGTCGACGGCGGCTGTGTGGGATGTCGTCAAGGGCAACGTTCGGACGGTCGAGCTCTTTGACACTGCGTGTGGCTGCAAGGGGCCTAAGAAACCGTGCTTATTTGTGCATGGTCTTGGCAACTTTTTCGACGCGCCGCTCTCGTCGACCGACTTGCTCTACTGGGGCTTTGCGCACCAGCACGCCCCCTGCTGCAGCTCCATCAAGTTTACACACTTTGAGACGATCCACAACGGCTGGGACCAACCGCGCGTTCAAAAGCAGTTTTGCGACGCGGCCCTCGCGACGAGCAACTCCAAGACGCAGACCGTGGGGAGCTTGATCTTGATTACGCACTCGATGGGCAACTTGATTGTGGGTGGTGCCGTCTCGGCGGGTGTCTGCAACCTCTCGAGCCAGGTGTCGTGGCTCTCGGTGAACGGTCCAATGATGGGCAGTGCCGCGGCCAACTTGCTCGAGAACAAGTGTCGGTCGAACTCGTGGGTTGACATTCCGCTCAAGGGCGCCGCGTCACTGATCGGGTTTTGCCCTGCGCCGGAGGCTTTTCTGAGCCTGAAGCAGCAATCTACGGTGGACGCCGCGCTCCAAGCCAAGTATGTCAAGGCACAAGCGGTGCGCAAGCAGTACGCGACCAAAACCATGTGCGGCGTCAGCTCGTGGGGCCTCAACACGGTTTACGCTCCCGTCATGTTTGTCGTGGCCCAAATGGCCCAGTACGCTTCGTCTCAGAACGACGGTATGGTCGAGTACTCGAGCTGCAACGTCGGTCTCAGCGGCTTCTCGAGCGACCCGACAGCGTCGGGCAACTACGTCGCAAGCATCAACCACGCCGACGCGACCTTCCGCAACGGCGACGGGTGGTGGGGCAGCGACCGCAAGCCCGTCAAGTGGCTCGAATGTGCCCTCTAGTCGTGTCCTTCAATAAAAATGTGGGCTTTTATACGTCGTCGAATTATGGACCCATGCATAGTTTGCCGTGTTTACTGGCTTACCTTTGCAGACGGTGTCGCGACGCTAAATCGACGGCATGTCGATGCAAAATGTCATTTTCACATTTTCAGGCCATTCCTACCCGTGGATCCTAGTAGGACACCACAGTTTTCGTTCAGAAAACGGTCCTAACTTGGTGACGATGATCCTGCGCGTCGCGCCACGTGCGCGTACGGATGGCACGACGATTCGCCCGTAGTGTGGGGTTGCAAGCTCTCAAGGTATTGTTTGTTTTTTCATTGAGGTTACCACGGGCCCTACGAGCCCAAGACAACGACGCAGCACGTCAACGAACGCCCCACTCTACAAGACTGCTGTGTGCACGCAGATCGTTGCGAACTGCACAGAAACGCCAACTGTCGACCTCCAAGAGAGCAGACGACGACCTGTTCTTATGCAAGCACGAGTCGTTTGATTTAATGGACGCGCCGCCCGTGCACGACCTTGGGCAGCGCGAGATCGAGCTCAAAGACCGCGTCCCACAGCTTTCCCGTGACGTACACGTGGTCATTGAGAGGGTTGTGCGCAATGCCGTTCATGACGGCGTCCATCTTGCGCCAGTCCTCGGCCGCGATCGTCCGCGCGTGGTTCTCAAGCAGCGGCAGCTGGTCCAGCAAAAGTGCGTCCCGCACATGGCCCGTCGCGGGGTCAATGCGCAGGATCTGGTTGGTGTACCAGACGTTCGCAAAGATCTCGCCGGCAATGTACTCGAGTTCGTTCAGAAGACGCACGTCGGCACCGTGCTGCGTCACGACGATGCGGCGCACCTCGACCAAGCTGGTCGGGTCCAAGAAGAGGAGCGTCGCGGACCCGTCGCTCACGATGAGATGCGCGCCATCATTCGTCATGCCCCAGCCTTCGCCCGTCGTCGTCGCAAAGGCAAACTCGCGCTGGAGCGCAAAGGTGCTTCGGTCGAGGGCGTAGCCGATTTTGGCTTGGTACGAGAGCGCGTAGATGGTGCCGTTGAGCACGGTGATGCCCTCGCCAAAGATGCCGTCCGGAAACTTGAACTCGTTGCCGGTGCAGAGGCCCGTGAGCGCGTCCAACTCGCGGATGAACGACTGCCCGCTCAGGCCCGTGGACTCGAGGAGGTGCCCACCGTCAAAGAGGAGGCCTTCCGTGAACGACGACACGTTGTGCGGGTGGATCGCCACGATCGCGTACGGGCTTGAGACCGACGACGCGTCGGCCACGATCGCGCCAAAGCCGGCGAAGGCTTCTTGGGCCAGCACCTGCAGGCACACGAGCGCGAGGCCGGCCCAGGGGTACAGCATAGCAGGTACGGTGGGCCTATTTTAAAACCTGGCGGCGACAGGGTGGTCGCAAAGGGAAACGGTGAGGAAACATATAATATAATAATTTAAGAAATACGATTTTTGTCAAGATATAATGACTTTCGACATTTTATGAAGAGCGGCGATCTTCGCGGCCACAGCCAGCTCCATGGTGCACAAATGGTACCATTCGACGCGCAATGAGCGTCTCTACGGGCTAACGTATTGTGATCTTTTTTATGAGCAGTGGTCTAGGAGTTATTCAAGGAAACGTTGCCTATTGCGCAAAATTTGGAGTGAGCATCTTTAGGCATCGAGTTGGCGAGCGGCCACGGGCGCACGAGGGACGTGCTTTCGACACGGCGTACATTAGATCGATGAGAGTGTACAGTCGGAAGGAATTCTCTGCGATGGTCTGCGAAGGTACCTCACGCGTACCTTCCAGCATGGTCCAAAGTAGGCCAATTATCATATCCGTCTCAAATTTTATTGCCGGATCGACACCGTTCGAAGCAGGGGTGCCCTGACGCGACCGCAGCGAGCATGCTGGCATCTGGATGCCACGTCGCCTCTGCCAAAAGGCCGGATGTGCCGCAAACAAACTCGCCTAAACTCGGCGTGCGCCGCGACGTGCGTCCTGTAGCAGGCCATCGCTCAATTAATTGTACTACGACAATTTGTATACCGGTACGGAAAAAGCTGCCCACGAGCGAGCAACCCACGATGCAAAGACCAGTCGTGCGGTGCAGAGAAGAGACTGTACCTGGTAGACCGATAACGTGGCCGTGCACCCACCCGCCACGACGAATGATGACCACAACGCTTTCAAGGCCAAGTGCTATATTAGTGACCACTGCCAAGACTCGAGCGCTTTGCTCCGGATGCTGTGGTGCCGTTTTGATTGTACATGGACGACAACGAACTCGTACATCTACATCAGCTGCATCTACATGTACCATCTCAAGTCACCGCCGTGTGTTTCCGAGGTTGAAGTGCTTGTTCCTGCCTGGTCATGCAATGAATGATGCACCAAAGCAGATCGCTTCGTCCACTACACGGCTTGGCCACCGCATGCGCAGTGTAGCCTGATATGTGATAAAGGGTGCATGCTGCTCGTGTCACCGAAGCGTACTATGAACTCTAGTGTCATGGACGACCTCGTTGGAAGACAGAAGACAGGCTTACATGATCGCGCCATGTTTGCGTGAGCTCTAAATGCGACGATGGAGCTCTCTAAAGTGCGCTTCCAGCGCCCGTGTCCACTCAAGTCCGGATTTGCACATCCGGCGCGACCGGCGAGAGAACCCAAGATCAGCCCCGGCACCCACGTGAGAGGTACGACGATGCAGCCAGCCGCGCGCTCATGCAGTCTATGCACAGGCAGTGCATCATCTCGCCGATGGCTACAACGGCAAACGACCACCGCGAACGAACGGTGCTGCGAAGGCGACCTCCAGCGACCTGCCCAAGCATCGACGACGACGGCGGCTCGTCGTCCAGCGACGACGACAAGAATGACGAAGACGGCGACATCAAGGAAACAGCTATGACGAGTATGTACCTGGCACGACGCCGCTTGGCGAAGCTCTCTTGACGTTTTCGACCTGCAACCTCCCGACGCCCGATCCGCCGGTCGTGCCACTGACGCAGCTGCATCATGCGTGGCAGCGCTTGCCGTGGTACGTGCACACGTGTCTCGTGACGCTGGGGCTGCTCGCGTGGTGGTTTTCGTTCCTCGCCGTCTTTAGCGTCCTCTCGTCGCGGTCCATGGCCCAGCAAATCGTGACGGCCGGCATGCTCCTTCTCGGCGCCGGCGCGCTCTACCTTCTGCTCATTTTCGTGCTTGTCCAGCTTCCGTGGACGTCGGCGTTGGGCGCATCGATCTGGGCGCGCCTCCACTTGACGCGGGCGCCCGCCGACAGCCGCGTGCTCGTCGAGCCGTGCATCTGGGTCGCGCTCGTCATGAGTTCGTACGCGCTCTTCCATAGCTTCGCGCTCTCCAGCATCATCGGCGGCGTCGCGGGCATTGCGCTCGTCCTCGTAGGGGACGTCGTCCAAGTCTACTTGCACATCATCGGCAGTGCGAAAGCGACGCCCTCGGACGAGCAGCCGCACAGCCTCAAGGTCGTCGTCATGACCATCGCGATCGCGTCGATCGTGCACGAGTGCCACGCGCTCTTCTGGAGCGTCCTCAACGACGGCGCGCTCGTCGTGTGGCCGTACCTGCTCAGCATCCTCGTCGGCGTCTCGCTCATCGTCGCCAGCGAGCTCCTGCTCTTGTACGGCCCGACGCGCTACGCCGGCGTCATCTTGCAGTCGCGGGTGCTCCGCGCGCGTGACAATTGGCGCCTGCACCCGTTCCGGTCCTTGCTCGAACTCAGCTTTGTGCTCTTGGTCTCGATGCTCGGGTACGGCTACTTTGGCGAACTCCTCATCTCGCTTCAAGTCGGCACGCTCGCCTGCACGGTTTTTATCTTGACGGGCGAGTTGTATCTCTACCCGACACGGAGTAGCATGCGCCACGGCCGCGCCGTCGACGACCATCACTGGATGAAGCTGCTTCCATTGCTCTGCGTCCTCACGTTCATGCTCTACCACGTTGGCTTTATCCTCGCGCGGCAGGTGCGACTGCTCCTACCGCTGCTCAACATCCTCGCCCTCGGCGCAACCGTGCGGCTCTGCTTGCCCCGGAAGTCGTGGCTCCGACGCATGCTCTGGCGGCGCCTCGGCACGATGTTCATGCAGACCCATCCGTGGCAAGCGACTTGGGAGATGGTCGCGCACTGTGCGTTCACCGTCTTCTTGCCGACCGAGACGCCGTTTTTGGTCTTTGTGGGCGCGAACGTGCTCTTTGACATTTGGATGGTCGCGGCCGAGCGCGTCGGCACGCAGCTCTGGGACGCCGTGTCGCTTGTGCAGTACGCACCGTCCTTGCGCATCACGCTCTCGGGCCGCGACATGCCATCGATGCCCCAGTCGCACGCGGCGCTGTGGGATTTCGACCCGCCACCGATCCTCGCGACCAACGTCGTCTTGAATAATCGCCACGACCTCTCAATTCCACTGTGCACCTTGATCAACCTCCTCGTCCTCTTCACGTCCCTCACGTCGCTCACGGTCCTTGTCACGACGCGACTCTCAAGTGCGCCAACGACGTCCCTCGTGCTCGTGTACACGCTCTGTCTAGCGACGTGTGCCGGCTTGCTCCTTGGCAGTGTCGCCGACGGCCACTACTACGCGTGGCTCCGCCGTCGGCTCTACGCCTTTTTAAAAGACCAAGTCGAGCGCTTCCCGCTGCAAACGTTTGTCGAAGTCGCCACGTGGCTCGGTGTCTGCATTGGGTCGTACGCGCTCTCGGGCTGGCTCGTCTTTGCAATTGGGCTCGCATCGCTCTCGACACTAGTCGTGCTGCTCGGCGGCAAGTACGTGTCCAGGCGCCTCGTGGCACAGCGCGACGATGCGTTCTCGGCCACGTGCGCCCTCGTCTTCTTCGTCTGCTTGATGACGTATGCGACCGGTCTCTGCCTCTACTACATTTACTGTCACTTTCGGCGCATCGAGGTGGCGTTCTGCCTCGCCACCTTGTCGGGCGTCGTCTTTGTCGCGTCCAGCGAGCTCTGCCTTCTCTGGGAACCGTCCCGGGTCGCCGGCATGATTCTCCAAACTCGGGTGACCCACGCGCGGACCAACTGGCGCCTCGAGCCGGTCCGGTCGTTTCTCGAGCTCTTTGTGTGGGTGGGTGTCACGTACGGGTCGTTTGAGTTGTACCAAGATGTGGTCCTCGCACTCCAGCTCGGGACGTTCTCGGGCATTGTCGTGACGCTCTCGGGCGAGTTTTTTCGGTCGCAGACGCACGTGCTCTTCCCCGACGGCGACGTCGCGGCGCAGAGCAGCAACCGCCCCAAAGTGCTGCCGCTGCTCTTGTTGTTCGCGTACGTTGGCGCGGGCACGTTCCAGTGGATCTTTGAGCACCTCCGGCGCCTCGAAGTCATGGTGTGCCTCGCCACGATCGCCGGTATCGTCTTTCTCTGCGTCGCGGACGTGCTCGTGCTCTGGACACCCACGCGCTGGGCCGGCCTCATTCTCCAAGACCGCTTTCTCCAAGCCAGCGCCAACTGGAACGTACGTCGACGTTGCTTGGACGCGTAGTACGATGTACTACCACGTAGATGCACCCGGTGCGGTCGTTTGTCGAGCTCGGCTGCTTTCTTGGCGTCATTTACGGCAGCCACGCGATCTATGGGGACCTCTTTGTTGCCGTCCAGTGCGGCACGCTCTCGGGCATGTGCGTCGCGCTCATCGGCGATCAGCTCAAGTCGCAGCGCGGCCCGATCCCATCCCGTACGCTCTCCCCTTCGTATCGGAACTCATCGACCTCGCGATCGTCGTTTAGATGCCAAGCAGCACCGGATTCTGCCGCTGCCCATCATGAGCGTCCTCGGGCTCGTCGGCGTCGTCGCCTTCAACACGATCTACACGCACCTCCGCAGCATCGAAGTGGCCTTCGTCCTCGCCACCTCGAGTAGCATCGCCTTTGTCGTCCTCGGCGACATGTTTGTGATTTGGCGCCCGACGCGCTACGTCGGCCTGATCCTCCAAGAACGCATTTTGAACGCCGCGCACAACTACAGCAGTCGCCGGCTCCGGTCGTACGGCGAGTTTGGCACGGCCACAACTGCCTTGTTTATCGCGTACCGCTACACGCTCGACGTGCTGGTGGCCATGCAAGTCGGCACGTTCACTGGCATCGCCGTCTGCGTCGCGAACGAGACGATCACAAATTACGTGTCGGCCTACAAGCAGCGCATGGTGTCGCTCGCCGCCGGCCACTCGGAGTAGGCCATCATCGACTTGTGTGTGCGAGATACGATACATCGAATGGTTGTTTGTGTAGCGGCCAAGAAGACGCCCACTTGCTCGCGATGCCGTACGAAGTCCTCTTTGAGATTGCGCGGTTTCTGACGCCAGAAGAATTGCTGGTCGCGCGCGCGACGTGCCATAAGGTCAACGACCTCTTGCGGGCCGAGTCGGCGCGCTTCTGGCTCCATGCGCACCTGCGCCGGCAGTGGAAACGCTACGGCTTTGGGCCCGACCGCCGCCCGATCCGCCGCAGTCTTATTTATGAAGCGTGGAAAGCGCTGGTGCCGAATCTCTGGGCTCCCCGGTACGTCGTTGACGTACGCAGCATGCGAGGAGGCGAGATATGCGTAGAAGTGAGCCCGCGACGCTGTTGACAGCCAAGATTGCTTGCAATCGGGCTCTCAAGTGGGTCTACTTGAACGCAGACTGGATTCGCAGCCAAAACTTGCCGCCGCTATCGACGCCGCCGCCCACGACACTCGTGTACCAACAACTGACTCTCGACTCGATGGATGACGACACTGCGGTAGGTTGCGCGCCACGGACCCGGGCTTCCAAGTGTTTCGGCATTTACCGGACAAGGTAAGCTTGTGTGCATCGTCTTCTTCCAGCATATATTGGGGTGTAGGATGTGCTTGGCGTGGAGCTTCAGAACAACCGCCATGGGGACGATGATGGATCGATTGACGTCATCCTCGTACCGAGTCGGCTCTACGCCAAGCTGCAAGCCGACCCGTTCAGCTTTGTCGTCTCGGAAACACTGTACGAAGTCGAAGCGTGCTCCTCCGGCCACCTCGTTAACGCTGCGTTCGTCGCCATGGCGGTGCTGTGCCTTGGCCACGCCGTGGCCCGCGTCGTAGGAACCATCCCTAGCCCTTGAGGCAAAGACTGCATCGCCACGACCAAAACAAATGTACATTGTTGATCACATGTCGTCTTAACGTCGGCTCGGCTCTCTGGAACGCAAGAGACACAGCGACGTAGAGCCATATATTATCTGGTTGACCTTGTCCCGCGCTAGTATCGCAGCGGTCGTCGACACGCCTCCGAACCGACGCATAGAGACTCGAATGGACATGCGTATTTAAAAGTGGCTGGAAATGAAGCGCTTGGAGCTCATGCGGAAGGCAAAGGCGGCGGCGCCAATGATGCCCGAGTCGTACCCGACCGACGCCTTCTCAATGACGACGGGATTGGGCAGCCGCGTCCACGTGTACTTGTTGTACGCATCCCGGATGCGCTGCATGAACGGCTCGCCCGCCTCGGCGAGGCCGCCCGAGAACACAATCATTTCCGGGTCCAGCGTCCGGCAAAAGTTGACGCACGCGAGACCTAGGTAGTCGGCGACCTCGGCCACGAGTTCGTTGCAGACGTCGTCGCCTTCGTCGGCAAAGCCAAACACCATCTTGGCTGTGATCGTCTCGATCGGGACGCTCGCGAGGCGCGTCATGACTTCCGACGACGACGCGCGCAGCTTGGCTTGGCCAATGAGCGCCGACGCCGAGCTGTACTGCTCGAGGCACCCGCGCTGCGTGCACCCACAGAGGCGGCCGTTCGGCACCATGATCTAGCCGTTCATCAGATCACATAGAAAACACTGGATGGTTGGTCGTACAATGTGGCCGCCTTCAATGCAGCCCGTGCCACCGGCCACGATCTCGTCGTTGTTGACGATACCAAAGCCGACGCCGGTTCCAAGCGCTACCCATGCAGATAAGGTCATCGCAACAAGGACGTAGTCGTACTCAGCATGACAAAGTTCTTGGTGCTGGCAGCGGCACCGACCCAGTGCTCGGCCGCGACGGCGGCATCGGCGTCGTTGACGAGGATCGTGGGCACACCAAGGCTCGTCTTGAGCGACTCTTGCAGCGGCACGTCCTTCCAGTTGGGAAAGTTGGCGGCCGCGTGCACGATACCCGAAGAGATTTGGCCCGGGCAGCCAACGCCGACACTCGTGACGTGTGTCCAGTTGGAGCCATGGTCGGCGACGCACTCCTTCGCGAGCGCCGCGCAGAGCGCAATGACGGCGTCCGGTTCGCGGTCCGAGATCTCGCGCTGCGCGCGGAAGAGCATCTTGCCTTCGAGCGAGACAAGGCCGACCTTGACGCTAGTGCCACCCAAGTCGATACCAACAAACATCTTGTTGTTTGTTGCAGAGGAATTGAAAAATGCAGCGTCGTCGGTCATCCTTGTGGGCTCGTTGCGCTGTCCTTTCTGCCGCTCGTGCGAGATGCGTTGTGATTGGCTGAAATCTCACATTGCGCTTTGGACCGCACCATCGTCCCACTCTTGGAGACGCTGCGCGATAACTTCAAGCGTCATCGAACGCCTCTTGGCCGGCCATGGGATCGATCCAGCTGGCCCGCACGTGTTGTTTGATACCTTGGGTGGGCCGCACACGGCTTTGTGGTTGAAGTTACCATTAGAAAAAACCACTCGATGCTGTGCACTGCTTGTGGTGTGCCTAGGAGTATTATTGGCGCGTGTCCCTCGCTCAAAACCAGCTAGCTTGTAGAACTATGCGATAGCAGCGCATCTCGAGCATTCCTATTCATTCCCATAGACACGGCGTTCGGTGTCAATGGATCGCATGGCGCATTTCATTGAAACTCGGGCAGCAGTCGTCATCGGTGCACGTTTCGGAGACCTCTTTGTTGACGTAGGAGGGTCCTCTTTCCACTCATGCTTTCTACGATTCAGTTGATGTCGCGTCGAGGACGTTGAGTGATCTCTTGTATCTTGACCTTCCGAGTGCGATCGATGGAGGTAGGAACTCGACCCGACGAGGCTCACCGCACGTCAAAAGCTACATACTGGACGAATATGACTTGCACTACGTTTTAGGATGCTGACCAAAAGACCAAACGAGCGTCGCACCGGTCGTTGACGACCTCTCCAAGCGGTTTCGCTCGGCGTTGCTGGCGCTTGTATCCGAACATCATATCCATATCCAGATGACGCGCCATCGCGCCACGATGGAACATAATGTCCTCTCGACGCCACCAGTGGTGGCAGCGCAGCATCGTGAAGACATTATTGGAGAGTTTCTACTATTGGATCTAGAGGTGCGTGGGTGGTATGCACTCTGCGAATCGTTCGGTGGAGGGCGTCGAGTGTGGGGTATCCAAAGCACACGCGTCAGATCTCACCGACATTGGCGCCACTTCCGCGCGGCCGTGGAAACTGCAAAATTAAATAATATAAATCAAATCTTTAAAATATGTTGCCGTCCGGATAAGATGGCTGGCCTCACGCCATAGCTTCTTTGACGATGGAGGCCAGCAAGAAGCGCAAGCTGGGGTCGGGCGAGGCCGCGGACGCCCCGGTCCAAGACGATACGAAGGTGCTCATGCGCCTCCTCGAGCCCTTCTCTCGCGACCAGCTCGTGGCCATCTTGGTCAGCGCGTACGTGACCTACTCCCATGCAGCACGAGCTCATGGCAGCGTCGATAGGGCCATGCAGCACAACTCGATCTTGACCGAGATCAAGACCATGGCCAGCACGGACGTCGTGCACCGCAAGATCTTTGTGCGCGGTCTTCCGTGGGACATTACGAGCGACCGGCTACGCCTGCATTTTGTCCAGTTTGGGCCCATCGACGACGCGATCGTGATCATGGACAAGGCCACGGGCAAGAGCAAGGGCTTTGGCTTTGTGACATTTGCCGATATGGAGGCAGCCGACCACGCACTCGAGGCGCAGCCGCACGACATTGACGGGCGCAAGTGCCCGTGCAACTTGGCGGCGACCCACGAGTCGTCGTCGTCGCGGCAGCGGGCCGACGTCGCTGCGTCGTACCAAAAGGCGCCGCCCGCCGCCTACACACCACCGCCAGCAACGCCGTACCCACCGCCCGCGCCAAGTCATGCGCCATCGTCGTCGACAAGCGGCGATGCGGGGCCGCCGGGCGACGAGACGGACCGCAAGCTCTTTGTGCGAGGACTGCATTGGGACACACAGGTCGAGACGGTCACGACCGAGTTTGCCAAGTACGGCGAGATTGAAGACATCTCGGTCATGAAGGACCGCCAAACGGGCAAGTCCAAGGGCTACGGCTTCATCGTCTACCGGCACCAAAACGCCGCCAAGCGCGCGTTGGCGCAGCCCATGAAACTCATCGAGGTAGCTACTTGCACTCGATATCGCCGCTCACAAGAGTGATTAGGGGCGGAATACGCACTGCAACTTGGCGTCGCAGCCGACACGCGGCAACAACAACAACGCTGCTGCGAGCCATCACCACGCCCAAAGCAGCCATGCACACCACCCGCCGGGACCACCGTTCCACGCGCCACCCATGCAACCGGCGTACCCGCCTCCAATGTACATGGTGCCCCCGTCCTATGGCATGCCGCCACCGCCCTACGCCGACCCGGCCGCGTATCCTGCGTACCCGCAGCCGCCACCCATGCCTGGCTACGGCTACCACATGCAGCACCCGCCGCCGCCGAGACAGTAGGACGCCGTTGAATCCTTGTAGACTACGCACACCAATACACAATCGCATGGCCTTATACAGCGTAGCGTCTCACGCGGCAATGGCCTTGACGTGGCGCTGGAAATCTTGCGCCTTGAGCTCGCACTTGGTGTCGTCGCAGAGGGGCGAGAGCGCCGACCGGTCGATCTAAAGCATGGGAGATGCAGGGGTCGTATCGGAGAGAGTGCGGCTACCTTTTCAAAGAAGAGGAGACCCGCATAGCGCTCAATCATGTCAAGCGGCATGAGGAACGAACGCAGCGGTGTCTTCTCCGCAATGCCTTCGTTGGGCAAAACAAAGCCCGCGGCCAAGTACTTCTTGGTGCCAGCCTTGTCCGTCTTGGACGGTTTGGCCGCAACCAAGACAACCTAGAGCACACCAAGAGACATCAATACACCGAGGTACCGACACCATTAGAACTTTGAAAAAATGAGTGGGCACGGCGACGCCGTTCAAGGGCGTGCCCAGAATCGGGTACGAGACGCGGTACCCGTCGCCCTTCTTGTCCTTCTACAGTCATTGAATGATTAGGTGCGAGAGAATATATTGGACAAGCGTCAACCGTCGGCAAGAAGAGAGGACCCGTGATGACGTAGACGCCATCATATTGGTTGGCCAAGTGCCGCACAAAGCCTTCCACGCGCGACCAGTACCCGCGGTTGAACTTGCCCACCTACTTGGACGCTCAGATACAACTGTACACGAGAGGGCACGAGACGACGACCTGCGGCGAAATGTTGGTCATGAGAAAGCTTTCGTTCACGGCGACTTGGGACGTCGACATATCGCCTACACATCGATGCACCATGCATGAGCGAGGTGGGACGCATGCAGACAGTAAGTAGCTGTACGGGCTGGCGCCAAGTGACCACGGTCGTAGCCGCTGTTGTGGTACTCGGATGGCGTCACTCGGAACGGCGGCGGCGTCGACAAGTCGCCCTTGAATGACGCCTTGAGACGGTTTACGTCCGGGCTCTTCTCTAGCGACGCCTTTGTGATGTACTCGGCGACCCACGACGGATTGCGGAGCCTAGGCTTTCATCAGACACACAAGTTCAAAGTGACGGAGAGTGGACCGGCGATCGTAGCTCAAGACGTAGCCTTCGCGAACCTTGACATTCTGGAGCGATGGAGCGCCAAAGCGCACGGCTTCATGCACGGGCGCCACCGAGTCGATGACGTCGGTCGTCGGAACGGGGCGGTCGTCCTCGTCCGGAAGGAGAAACTCGATGGCGGCCAGTGTCCCGGCGGCGCCAAGGACAATACCACCAAGGCCAACGCTCAGGAGCCTGTGATGACGCTGTTAGATGAGCAGGCGAGAGCACGACGAACCGCTGGAGCGGCAACCTCGTTGCGCGTCGTCGCGCCATTGCTGCGTGTCAACAAATAAAATGCCTCCAAGCACGCCATGACATGTGATTGGCCATATATCGATTTATTTTGAACCAATCCGCTGCGATCCACTGGTTGTGCGCCGCGATTCCGAGCACTCCGAAGGCCACATTCCTTTTGAAAATGAAATCGCTCATACTTTGCATGTCGATAGCCCATAAGTTTGGGAGCACGAAACACCAAGTCGCACCATCGTGCGTGACCTACAGCAGGAGAAAGGCCGGGCGAAAGTGGATGCCGAATTGTACTGAATCTGGCATCGCGTCGGATTTGAATGTGGCATATGCCAGATTTAAGGGCGGACGTGCTTGATTTGGCGGTTTCTATAGAGGCAATGGCAACCGTACTATCAGTTGCCTCGCGACCGTGGACCGTTCTCTCTCGTCAAAATCCCAGCTTGAGCCGGCGTTGTCGACGGCCGTTTTAGCTTTGCGCATCTTGTTGGTCGTGCCATCAGTGGCATCGGCACGAGCTTTCTGCAGCCATCCAAGAGCTCGACCACTCGTTTGGTCGGCTCGCTGGGGCTACGTCGTCGCAGTGTGTCTGTGGCGACACCTTGCGCATGTATCAAGACGAGAAGGCGGCGCGAACTGCCTACCAATCTGTCATTTTTGCCGTTTCGATATGGTCCCGGTACCTCTCGACGGGCGTATTTCGTGCCCCATTTCGGACACACAGCTCGTGCATTGTTATCGAACTCGGAACTCGGTGCTTTTGACAGCAACCTTGCGCTGCTGCGCCGCCGAGCGTACCATCTCGGCCACATGTGCGCCGCCGAGCGTACCATCTTGGCCGCATGTGCGCCGCAGTGTACATATGTGATGCATGGACGCATTGTTGCGTGAGCTGCGTGTCGCTGGACGACGCAGGGACTCCACGCACTGCCTCCAGCTGATGTATATTGTCTTTCTCCGTGCTATAGAAACATGGCCTGTGCATTGCTATGCGTTGCTGATGACGGGTGCAATGACACCAAGGATTGCGTGTCAGTAGCCACCTTATCCGGATATCCGGTGGGAATCGGACAAGCCATGGCACTGGTACGTCGACGCAGCCCGCGAGACGATGCGAACGACGAGGTAGAGCCCCGAGGAAGACCGGTACTTTGGCTCGAAGCTTCTCTTCCATGAAGTCCAGACCTTGCTCTTGATGTACGCGTCCTTCACGCTCGCTACCTCATCCTCAAGCGCAAGTGCAGGACGCCCGAGGTCGACGCCACGCCCGACGACAAGGACGCGCTTACGGTACGCGCAGCGTGATGCCCATCCTTTGCTTCACCCAAGCATGGCAGATTGCGCGCAAGCTCTTTGCCGTCGGGGAAGCGCAGCAGTACCTAACGTTGCAGCTGTCGATGACGCCGACGTCCGAGGTGCCACGTCCGCAGCGACGCCAAGCTCATGGCTTTGCACCGCGTAGCCAGCGCTGCTGGGCTTGACGCCCCATGCAATCCGAGCCGCGTGGGGTCTTCGAGACCCCGACCACGTCGACAGCTTGCGCGAGCGCATTCGGGTGAACCTCGCCGCCTTTCCATGCGATCGCATCCCACTTCTTCATCCTTTAGGCCTCGCTCCTACCCGACGTCGAGCGCCGCATCAAGGACAAGTGCCGACTGCTATGCGACGTGACGAGCCCTCTGCAAGGAGACACGCCGTCGCTGCCGTTCGCGTTCGCCGAGCAGCTCCCCGAAGCACTTTCGGTACCAAGCTACACCGTCGGCGACAAATACTGAAGTCTCTCTCTAGGCGCTCCAAGCTGCCTCGAGTGCTCTGGAGAAAGAGCTGCTCGCGCTTGAAGAAGCCCACGATGCTCGCGTCCAAGAATTGGGGGCGCTCGTCGAGGCCATGGGCACATTGCTCCTGCGCACAATCCGCGTCCGCGACCAGTCGCCGTTTGTGACCAAGAAGATTGCCTGCCTCGAGGTACTCCCGTCGCCGACGTCCGAGTTGTCATCACGCTCGTGTGCAGGCGTACATTAGTGCCATGCACGAAAAGACGGCGCTGCTCACAAAGCAAATGCTCACCGAGACGTACACGGAGCGCAAGCTCCACGCATTGCGCGCCGTTCGGTACGCCTGTCCTGGACCACGATGGCAACACACCATCCTCGGTAGACACGAGCTCGAGGGTCGATACGCATCGGCACAGCAAGCACAGAACGAGGTCGACCTACTACGACGCTTGCCCTCTTGACTGGACACAGCTCACGACTGGATCACGTTGTAGCTTCATGCACGGCTGCAGCAGTACGAGCTGCTCGGGTCTGCGTTTGCAGCGACAGCCGACCAGTACGCCGTCGTGCAGCGCAAAATTGCCGAGAAGGAGACATGGATCGCATCCCTCGACCTTTAATGCAACGTACAAGACATAGATGGTGACGTGCATTCGTTGAGGAGGCAGACGACTTAGGCTTGCCGGAGCACGGATGCTTGCAGCGCATGGACGTCGTACGTGGCGCGCGCGTTCTCTTCACGCGCGCGGAGCTCGTCGTAGACAAACTGCGCTTGCTGGAGCTGTCCCAAGAGGAGTCTCTTCTTCTTCTCCATGTCGAGGAGGATCGTCTTGGTCTCTTGGATCTCGCTCTTGGCCTCGACGACCTTGGTCGCCCACTCGGCGCGCTGCGGCTGCAAGATCGCGTCCATATAGCGTTGCTCCTCTTCAATCTGCGATGCCATGTTCGCAGTGGTCTCTGCGGGCTCGACGAGGTCGGCTTGCATCTTGGCCGTAAACGCGGCCCACGTAGTCACCTCGGCGGTACGCGATGCCATGACGGCGTCGAGTCGGGTCTGCCACGCTTGGCGCTCGGTGGCGGCGGCCGCAAGCATGCCCAGAACATGCCCCTTGTGCTCTTCGAGGGAGCGTTCTTCGTCCTCGAGCCGCCACAGCGTCGCTGTCTCGTTGCAGCTCGTCGCCTTAAGGGCCATCTCGAGGAGCAGGAGGCGACGGCCCTTCTCCTGCTGGGTCTTCTCCATGCTCGTGGCCGCTGCCCATCTAGCATCATGTGCTTTCTCGCGCCTGCGCTCCTTAGGTCCCCAGCACCGCGTCCATGGGTCGCGTACCCTTGCGTCCCGTCCTGGCCTTGGTCCATCTCGATCTTGGATTTCGAAAATGACCGACTAAAGCGGTCTCTGTAGTCGATCCCAGTCGAGCCGTTTCGACTAAACAGCTGTGCGCACCAATGATACGCCGTTGATGTCAACAGGATCGAACCTGTCATCTTGTTCGGCACAGTATAAAACAGTACCACGTCCGCTAGTGTAAGCTTAAGCTTAGTCGAGTAGACCATTCTATACAGTATACAGACAGGGAGTACAGTACTGTATGCTGGCAGGAAGGGTCGATGAACGGCACTGATCCAAGTCGGTTCCGAATTCAAGCTATGTACAGTGCGCTCTTACTGCCGCTTCTTGAAGGTGTTGAAAACTTGACGCGACTGCTGACCACACTGCGACGCTGTTCCCATCACCTCCGGCCAGCCGTCGTGCTGGCACCGATATCGCTGCATAATATGCTGCGAGTCCAGCCGTCAAACCTGCTGCATAGTACAAGCTCGAGAGACGAGGACTCGTCCATCCGCATTCCGTGATGCGTGGTTCCATGATATACGTGGTATTACTGTAGTGTTTTGTGCGACGTGGCCTCAAGCCCATGTGCGCTTCGAGATCATGGCTGTGAGCTTGGAGAACAACATACACGTATTCTTGACCGAGATTTCGTCAGCTGAGAACAAGGCGGACGCGGAATGACCGTGCGAACGCTGGCCACGTACCGCGCTGGACGCTGGAGGAGGATGTCAATTCCTGGTGTGCCAGCGCAACCTTCAGCTTCCAGCCAGCTGACGAGATTGCGACAGAAGCCAGCTGACGCGATTGCTACTGGCGGTGCCAGGTGGTTAGCAGAGTGAGAGCTTCAACCAATCCAAGGCCATAACTTGACGCCATTGGCCCGAGGCACGCGCCGCGGCTCTGAACGCGCGCCCCACCGTTCCTCGGAGAATGTTCTCGCGATCCATCCCCTGGTTCACTTTAGAATCTCCTTGTTGCGTAACATGCTTCCGAGGATCACACTTCTGCTGTCGGCAGCTACTACGTTTGTGGCGGCGCAGGACGCGCCCGACCCGACGTACGGCGGTGCGCTCTACGCGTTCAAGGCCTACGTGTCGCCGCTCGTGTTGCCCCAGGTACTCGACATGACGGCCGGCGGCTCGCTCCAAATGAACATCGGACAAGTCGACAACCATGCGTGGGGCAACGGTATTCCGACGACCGCCGTCTACGGCTACGGCGTCGCCGGTCGTAATGTGTCGCACCCGGGCCCGACGATCCGCGTCAAGAAGGGCGTGCCCATCAACGTCGAGTGGTTCAACACGCTGGGTAGCTCGACGCACCTCCTCGGCCGGTACATTGAGCCGACGCTGCTCCGGTCGACGTCGGCGTGCTTTCCCAACTGCGGCATTCCCGTCATCACGCACGTCCACGGGCTCGAGTCGCCACCGCAGTACGACGGTCTCCCGCACTACTCGATCTACAAGAACCAGTCGTTCAACGCCGTGTACAACAACAAGCAAGGCGCGTCGACGAAAATGTACCACGATCACGCGATCGGCCTCTCGCGCCTCAACGTGTGGGCGGGTCTCTTTGGCCTCTACATCATCGAGGACCCTGTGCTTGACGCGTCGTACAACCTCGCCAACATGACCGACATCCCGCTCATGATCGCCGACAAGATCATCGACCCGAGCGGCAAGCTCCTCTACACGAGCGTCGTCACGTGTCCAACCACGGGCACGCTCTGGATGTCCGAGTCGTTTGGCGCTGTCAACACGGTCAACGGCGTCGTCATGCCGTACCTCGAGGTCGGCCAGGAAATGGTCCGCTTCCGCATTGCCAACATGGCCAACTCGCGCCACTACGACGTGCAGCTGCCGTTCGCCGACAAGTGCAAACTCATCGCGGTCGACTCGGGCTACGTGCAGACGCCGATGCCGGTCAATGCGTCGACGACGCTCTTCTCGCTCGAGCGCATCGAGGTCGTGTGCGACTTTACCAGTGTTCCCAACGGCACGACTTTTGATATTATCGACGGCGCCAACGACATTGCCTCGTCCTACACGTACGACCCGCGCGTGCTGCAGGTCCGCGTGGTAGCCAAGGCGTCGACGCCGGCCAAGGCCGTGACGCTTCCGAGTCGCATGACCAAACTCAAGGACCTCCAAGCCTTGTACAAGTCGACGAACGGCAAGCTGCGCACGATCACGATCGGTGAAATGACCGACATGAGTCTCTGTCCGACGCAGTCGATCTTGACGCAGTACGGCCAAGTCACGAATGTCTCGACGATCACCAACAAGCTCATGTGCACGCGCGGCAAGGTCGAGAAATGGCAGTTCAAGAACCCGACCGACGACACCCATCCGTTCCATTGGCACCTCGTCAACGTCCAGTGCGGCCCGGACGACGACCACATCAACAAGAACGAGCTCAAGGACGTGTACGTGATCCCGAACGGCCCGCTCGAAGACCGGACTCGCATCACGCAGGTCTGCTACGTGGCGTGCACGCCCGACGAGTTCCTTCTGGAAGGCAGTACGCGCGCGGCAGACGACTATGGCTTCTCGACCGACGAGCCGTACCTCGCGCACTGCCACATCATGGAGCATGAAGACAACAGCATGATGGCGTGGTTCCAGCTCATGAAGGAAGACGATACGAACCCGATCGACGACGGCACGGTGGTCTCGTCGACGCCAGAGCTCACGAATGCGATCATCTGGTCCGCCATCGGCATGAGCTTTGTCGGAGGCATGGCCACGACCTTGTCCGTGCTTGTTATTTCGATCCCGCGCCTCAATTTCATGGCTGGCGACAAGGCGCTCGCCATGACGTTTGCGCTCTCGGCCGGTGTCATGCTCTTCATCTCGCTTGTCGATCTCTTCAACGAGTCGATCATCAGCTTTCGCAACGCATGGGCGGTCGGCGGCTCGGAAGGCGTCGACCCAGAGCTCATCGAGCAAGGGCTGGCGCCGCCCGGCACCGTGGCCCCCGTGTGCGACCCGACGTGTGTCGGCTACGCGTGGCTGGCGACGACCGGCTGCTTCTACGGCGGCATTGCGATCATCTTGCTGCTCGAGATCATCGTGCACCGCGTGTTTGACTACCACACGAAGGACCTCGCGACGCTGGGCACCCACGGCCACGACCACCAGGACGAGCACGAGCTCATGGCAGGCGCCGTCGAAGTTCGCACGCCGACGGGCAAGGAGGTCGCCGACGACGGCACGCCATTGAGCTCCGAGCCCGACGACGCAGAGAACGGCGAGGCGAAGAAGTCGGAGCTGCGTCGCGCGGGTATTCTGACGGGTATCGCGATCGCGATCCACAACTTTCCCGAGGGCATCGCGCTCTTTGTCGCGTCGCTCCAAGGGCTCAAGACGGGCCTCGTGCTTGCTATTGGTATCACGTTGCACAACTTCCCTGAAGGTGTCGCGATCGCTGCGCCCGTCTACTATGCGACCAACAGCAAGAAGCAAGCGTTCTTCTGGACGGCGCTCAGCGGCATCGCGCAGCCGTGCGGTGCGTTCATCGGGTGGGCGACGGTCTCGGGCGGTGTGACGCCGCTGCTGTCAGCAACTTTGTACGGCTTTGTGTCGGGCATGCTCGTGTGCATCACGATGAAGGAGCTCGTGCCCGGCGCGTTCAAGTTTGGCGGTCACCGCTTCCTCGCGTCGTTTGCGCTTGGCGTCGGGATCATGGCCATCAGTCTTGTGATCCTCAAATTTGTCGGCAGTAGTTAAGAGACAACCTGGTATATAGACTTATACCTTTTCAATTACGACGGCGAGTTCGTGTGCGCAAGATCTTCACACGTTTTCATTGGTCATTTTTCAGGCATTTTAGCCAATCCAATGGGATGCAACGCCGCCCGCACCGAGCTTTTGCCGCTCGCATTGCAAAATAGCATCGGAAAATGAAATGGCTCCTATTCGGTCTCATGATAGAACACACTTTGGAGAGCACAGAACGCTACGCTCTGTGCTCGTCGAACCCGTGTAGCATCATTTATGCGTCGTCAAATATTTATTTGTGGTATGCGCCATTCTTGAACAGATATACCACATTTAGTCGCCCAACCTGGCACAAACCAATTCCACATACCAGGCGTGACTAGCTGGAGTCATCGCGGCCCACTCGTATAATGTATCTACAGTATGAAGGGGCTACGAGTCAGTCAACTCGTTTCCTTCGTATCCTGGCACCAATCAACCACCATGAAGCCAGCTGCCAGTACGCAGCATGGAGTTGAATCCGCGGCCATTTATGTGTTGTAAAGGTCCGAAAATCGGCGTGCATCGATGAACCGAACGCGATTTTGCAATCCATGCAACAAACAGCGCGCTCCGAAAACGTTGCAATCGAAGTTGTGTGGATTTGCGATACGCGCTTTGAACGTAGGGGGTGAAACGAACGCCCACTTCAACTGCGTGATGGTGCGTGGAGATCTTTCGGCGTCGTTGAAGTGCGTAGAGCGAAGAGTGATGACGTACCACGCTTCATCGATCGCTTTGATCGTTCGCTGCAATAGTTGCAATGGCTCCCGTGCCACCACTGTGAAAAAAGCCTATATAATATAGTATTTATCTCTCAACGGTCATCCGTGGTGCATGCAACGCTGCAGCAGCAACAACGACCGGCTGCCGTTGCTCATGCTACGACGACACAGCGTGTTGGTGTACCCGCAAGCTATGCGGCAGGTCAAGCTATCAGCACCATTTCGAACCCCACAACTCTTTCATGCCATCGCAGCCGACGCCGAGACAGGTCATGGATCGATGCACAGCCTCCGCCTCCTGCAGCGCTTGGGCTTAGCTCTTCAATTTCGACTGTGTGTTGGTGGGCGCGAGATCTTTCGGCGCCGCTGGGCGCCGTTGAGGGCTGCGGCAACACACGTTTTTATTGGTCACTTCTTCTGGAATTTTGACCAATCCAATGGCATGCCACTCGGCCCGCGCCGCTCGATGGCCGCTCGCATCGCAAAACACGACCGGAAAATGAAATGGCTCCTATTCTGTCTCATGATAGAATACACTTTGGAGAGCACAAAATGCTACGTCCTGTGCTCGTTAGACGCGTATAGCATAATTTATGCGCCATCAAATTGTTATTTGTTTTATGCGCCATGTTGTACCACATATACCACATTTAGTCGCCCAACCTCATGCGATTCACCAACCTAGCCTGACTAGGCGCAACTGGTGTCTTCGAGTCCTCTCGTATAATGTATCTACGATATGAAGGGTCTACGAGTCGGCCAACTGGTTTTCTTTGTATCTCGGCGCCCGCCCCCTCTCGGCGCCACATGTGACCTGGCATGTGCATCAACCACCATGAAGCCCGCTGCCAATACGTAGTTCGGTCATCCGCGTCGTTGCTCCTGCGATGCACTACATCATCAATAGTATCGAGCGCGCGATTGATATTTATTCTTGCACAGCTACGCGAGCGCATGTACGTTGGTGATCTTGCGCACCTTCCAGTACAAGTCGCAGAGCTGGGCTTCGACCGCAAGCAATGCCTCTAGCAGCTGCCGCGCTTCGACTGCGCAGATCCGACGCGGTGCGAAGAGCTCCACATACGATTCGTATGCGTGCGTCCACTTGGTTTCGAGTTGCAACAGCGCCTCGTAGCAGCCCGCGGCCACGCACGTTGGGTGTGCGGCTTTGGCTGCTCCACCCGCTGCCGGTGGTCGATGGCTCAGGACACTCGCGCGCACCTACGAGACACTAAAACACAACAGTAACAAGTCGATATCGTACATGGCTCAAGTCGCTCGCGTCCGAAACACCCAGCGTCAACAGCACTTCGCTTCCGACGTGGTCAGCCAAAAGCACCACGACATTGCCCGAGTGTACACGGACGCCCAGCACCGCACGCGTGCCATCGAGCACGATCGGATCGTCGAGCTGCAATTCCGACAAACAAGCCGCAGCGGCATGCTCACCGCGCGGTACCGAGAGGTGCAGTGTCCACAAAAGCGGCGCCAAAGGCTGCACAGCAATGGAGGCGTCGAGCATCCCCGCGGGGGCCCACAGACTGCGCGGACACGGCGCCCCGGGGCGCGGTACGTAGAGCTGTTTTAGCATGGCCGCGCTAAGCTGCGACTGCCGGGGTACGCCGGGCCACGGCGCGGCTTGTGCGAGCAGATGCACGTCCACCGTGTCAAGAGGCAGCACCAACGGGTCTTTGCCCTTGACGAGAAATACCAAGCGGCACGTGACACGGAGCAGCGCGCTGGAAATCACGGGCACGTGCGCCGACCAGGACGACCCAAGAGATGGCGGGCACGGTATACTGAACTCGCGCATATTGCTGCCAAGGGTGCTGTGCGACACAGTCATATGCAGCACCCTACATCGACCACCGTCACGCCAACGACACCACCGTAATACTGTAATACCATTGCTCCAGAGACAATGCGCCGTTAGTCGGTTCGAATGTGACGCCAATCAGCATGTCCTCGTTGGATGCGCTGCCAAACCCGAGCGATGGCTCGTGACGCCGACGTGTCGTCACTGTGCAGGCAACGACACTGGCGAGACCTACGCAGATCGTAGAGGTGTCATGCGTGACGTTGCCGGGGGAAGGAACGCCAACCGTGTGCCTGGACACGCTGGAGAAGACCAAACGCAGCCCCAAGGTTCGTCAAGGACCGGTCCAGCGCCTTGGAGGTGATGAGAAGCGAGGCTTTGGCGTCAGCGGCAGCCTGGATCGCGTCCAGCTGCGCCTTGATCGAGCGGTCCGTGCCGGCGCGACGGTACATGCCCACCTTTCCGTAGCCTACGTAGGTATAGCGTTCGCTCGTCGTTTTGCTTTTTTCCAGAACGAGAGGACCTTCGTGCATGGGCTCCACGGCCATCGACGGCGGCAGCTTGAGTACAAGAAGTTGACCGTTGCTCATCAAGCACGTCACGGCGCTCTCGCCATTACTGCAGAGCGCAACAACGTCCTAGTCACCGCCACGTCAACCGTCTTTTACACAGAAAAGAAGCCCTACGGGTGGCAGCGGCAACGCGACGGGCGGGTGCAGCGTGTCGTTGGAGACGGCGCGCGCCGACAGTGCGCCGTCCAGCGTACAGTACACCAGCGCTGCACACCCAGGTACGTAAGCGATCCTTTGGATCGCAGATTCCTTCCACGAGGTTGAGCTTGCTGGCGTGAGAAGCGTCATGTTGCCGCTGGCGTCTGCAATCGCAAGACTAGCACTTAGAGGCACAATGCCTTGGATGGCTGACGACGCTTCGTACAACACGCCAGCACAGAGCAGCGCACGCGCAGCACTGAGCACGGCAAAGCGCACGGAGCCGTCGCGGTCGCCCTGGAGCAACACGTGCTGGGCTGTCTCGGGCGCCTTCATGCGGGCGAGGAGCCAGCGGCTGAGGCCGGCGGCGGGCCGCGCGACAATACATGTCGACTGGTCCCCTTCGAGCTCCTCGAGTTCGACCGGCGCGTGCGGGCTCGAAAAGACGGTTGTGGGAAAGATGTTGCTGGTCGCTACAAAAGTAGACGCGTCGATGGCGCAGAGCGACTGTACACCAGGGAGACACACGATCGGTGCGACGGATGGGCTCGCGGACGACCGCCGGTGCTTCGCCCCAAGAGGCTTGTCGATAAGGAGGTCCTGCGCTGCGCTACAGTCGAGCATGAGCTGCCGCATGTACATGTAATGACGGCGTACTCTGGAGCGCGGGCGAGCGTGATGATATGATGCGTACTTTGCGTATTCGCCGAGGCGGTAGGCTTGGCCACCGACCATATATGACCCGTCGCGGTTGCTACTAAAATCGCATCTAGAGAGCCATGAGTGCAATCACATATGACCATGAGATGAACGACCTTCCATGATCTCAACGGCCACAATGGCGGCAGGCGCCTTGACGATGGTCTAGAAGACAGGCATACCATGACGACGACGCCTCCATGTATAGCTGCGAGTACGTGAACGCGGCCATCGGCAATGCAGTGGAGAAGGCGTGGCGCCACGCAGGCAGCAACTAGCCCGTCCTTGGCGCAGAGCTGCACTGCTCGACGGTCGGCGACGCGGGCGAGCCGAGCGCTCCGGGCAACTTGCATGGCCGAGTGCCGAGGTGCGGATTGGTCGAGCCATACGATATGCTGATTGGCCGTTTTAAAGTGAATTTGAACCAATCCATGACACCTAAAACCAATCCACATGCGGCGCCCGCGGCCCCGATCGGTTTGGGAGGCGACGAGAGGTCTGAAAATGATTTCGCTCATACTTGCCAGAGCGATAGGCGACGTGACGGGGAGTCTAAAACGCTACGCCACGTCGCTGTTCGAGACCTACAGCGCAAGAAATGGACTCTCAAAAATTGGATTTCGGGTTCGTGGATTTGCTTATTACTCTTGCAGCCTCTTTGTCCTTAGATTATTAACTCGTAAATCAAACAATATACACACCGACTAGGTCTTACGTGACCGATCCCGTCGAGGAGCCACCGTGCAGCACATTGCAGCTGTGAGCTCTGCACGTACGTACCCTGGGCCACAAACATGAGACGTTTACGAAGACACGATCTTCATCCCCTGCGTCTCATGTAGTACGCTGCCAGTATACAAGCCTCGTCGTTGAAGCAACTGGCTATCAATCGAAAAGGGAGCACGTGTTGTCTGGGATGACGTCGCCAAAATGGCGGTCATAAATGTGCTCGAGCTCATTGCCGACTGACCAGTGGACGTTTTCCTTGTACCGATTCGAGTACTGCTTGATTTTCCGAAGCAAGTGCTGGCGGCGCTCCCACGTCATGCGACAATTGCACACGGCGTACACGGACTGGTTGGCCTCGAAGACGCGCATGGCGACCTCGGACGTGCCTTCCGGAGGTGTCCACCGAATTTCGTGCGAGCGTTTGCAGTAGTAGCACGTCGCATCGTCGCCGTCCGGCGGGAGCTCGAGCCACGGCGATGGAAGCGGCTGCACGAGGTGGCGCTTCAAGTACGCATGGCAGCGCCGACATAAAATGCTCTCAAACTGCTCCTCTTTCGTAAAGAGCCACTGCGTCGGGTCTGCAACCGGCTCGTTCGACCACATGGACGCCGCTTTGGGGGGCGTGACACTTGACGCCGGAGGGTCCGCGCACAAGTTTGCGTCCTTGAGGTGCGGGAGGAGCTGTAGCCGGCTGGACGAAAGCGTGCGCGGACCGAGGTCGAGGTGGTGCGGGCCGCTCGCGATCGTAAACTTGCGCAGAAGGGTCGCGGTGCGCGGCGTGCATGGCGCGGCCGCCAAGTGCGACGAGCCCAAGCGCTGCAGGAGGCGGAGGCTGTGCACCGATCCATGATGACCTGTCTCGGCGTCGGCTGCGATGGCATGAAAGAGTTGTGGGGTTCGAAACGGTGCCGACGATAGCTTGGCCTGCCGCATCGCTTGCGGATACACCGACACGCTGTGTCGGCGTAGCCTGGGCAGCGGCGGCCGGTCGCTGTCGCTGCTGCGGCGTTGCATGCACAGATGACTCTATTTTTATGGACCCAAGATCAACCTTATTTCCACACGCAACCCCTGCGCATCGTTGCAGAGGCCCGCGAAAGGATCTGTGCAGAACAAGAAACTCGGCATGGAGCGCATGATGGAGGCACATCATCGGTCGACCTCGCTGACGTTTGATACGACGTCACTTGCATGCGTGTGCCCCTTGCGCCTTAAAGGAGAATTCTCTTCCGTTGCGCCACGCAGGCTCGTTACTACACGGATGGCGTTGGCACCGAATATGGTAGGCGGCCTTGTTAATATCCCAAGTCCTCGATGCTTGCACGGGACACAGCGCTCACACTGTCGTTCCTTCAGGGCTCTGGAGGAGGTGCATCATTTCACTCGACGTTTCCAGCGTTTCCGCGAGCTCGAGCACTGTGAGACCGTCCTAGGACCACACGTGAATCGATCGATGCATCGATAGCGTCACGTCCGTACGAGCGACCGCGCGATGCGATTGGCGCCCTTCTTGATTAGTACGTCGACGATGCCGACGTGGCCAAAGCGAACCGCGTTAAAGAGCGGTGTGCGGTCGTCCTAGGTTCCCATCCAACCAGCCGGTTAGGACAGGAGAGACACCAACCGATGGCACGTACGACGTCGGTGGCTTCCATGTTGGCACCAAACTTGAGGAGAAGCTTGACGGCCTTGACATCGCCCATTTCCGAGGCGAGCAAGAGGGCGGTCCTGAGATTCTAGCAACGCAAGAAAGAGATCAACAATACTGATGCACAGCGATGACAGGCATCAAGAGAGATGTGTGTACCGTGTCCGTGGTCTCGGTCTTGGCGTTGGCTTCCAGCAAGCTCTTGAGCGCGTTGCCGTGGCCCAACTTGACGGCGACAACCAGCGCGCTCGTGCCCGTCTACCATAGTATTTCCTTGGCACAAGTAAAATGTATCGATATATGTCTACCTCGTCGGTCGCATCGGGCTTGGCACCATGCTCCAAGAGGTACTTGAGAACGTGGAAGTGGCCACCCTTGAGTGCCATGAGCAGCGGCGTGCACCCGTCCTACACCAAATCTACCACCCGATCCACCGGCGGCAGTCGACCTACCACGCCGACGCAGTCGACTGCGACGCCCTTCTGAACCAGGCACTCGACAAATCCGAGCTCGCCAGCGGTGGCAGCATGCAGCAGAAATCCTTCCTAAACGTTGCAGCTTCCGTGCGAGCTGGAACATACAGGCAGGCAGAATGTACTTCGGAGTGGACGCCCTTGGGTGCAGCCTTGCGCTTGGTGGCGCCGACGAGGAACCCCATCGCGTTGGCATCCGGGTGGAGAAGACTTGCCTACACACATCGCGTCACCGCCGCCTGTCGTCGAGACGAGACGTACTGCATCGTGGCCGAGCACGGCTTGGTCATACGTCGTCGTCGGGTCCGAGCTCAAGGCGCCGGTCACATTATAGCGGTTGCAGAACCGGTAGTACCAGCCCCACGACGCCTGGAACTTGTCCATGGACGGGTACTTCTTGGCGAGGACGAGCGCGCGCTGCTGGATGTGCGACGGCACCAGCGCCACGTTGTTGAGCCGGAGCGCGCTCACCCACTTGAAGAGCTCGGTCTCAAACTCGACTTTGGCGCGGTCGCCGCCCCGCTTGCGGCCATTGCGGACGCCTTCGCGGCCCGTGGCGAAGCGCGAGAGGAAGATATCGCGGTCCTTGTATAGCTTGCGGATCGCGGCGGGCGTGACGCCGTACGCTTCCGCGAGCTGCTTCGTGGGCACCTTGACCGCACTCTCGCTGCTCTGCGCGCTCAGGATGGTCTCGAGGATCTCCATGCGCTGCTCGTCCGTGAGCCGCGCGCCCTTGCCGCGCTTCTTCTCGGTCGGCGCCTCCTCCACCGTCGTCGTCGTCGTCGGTGTCATCTTGCAGTTGACACGGAAACTTTCACGGATGGCACGCGTTGTTCAGTTAAGTATGCTACCTCTTTGTTTCGATGCAGTAGACTAGATATCAGAGGTTTGCAAGTGGCTAGATGCACGCCATCTTTGGGCCGACCACCATGCAGCGCGACATGACAAGCACGCATCCATGCAGCAGGCAGCGCTTGAACCAAACATCGAACAAGCGAGTGGCCGATCGCGCGCACGCAAAGACGCTTGGCACGGTGTGGTTTGCACCATGGGTTTGCACTGTTTACATAGGATGGACGCACGCAACTTTCACAATAAATCCAGTGACACGCGCGCGTGTCGATGACGTCTGACGGCTTGGATGCACCGCGTGGATGATGGCATCGCAGCCTGCATCGATGCTGCAGGCGAGCAGCCTATCGCTGCTCGCCGTTCGGAAGAAGGTTGCGATGACACGTGAATGGCACGGGGCCGCTGTTTTTAATAGCCTACATTTGCGTGCGTTTAGCCTCTGCGTCGTGCCACTCTGTCCCGTGGCATCCTGTCTTTTTCTCGGTTGCCATGACGCTCTCGGTGGCCACCGCGCGCGCCCAGCTCGCCAAGCACACGTCCTCGTCGGGCTCGTCCCCGGTCGTCGCCATCTGCGGCGGCGGCAATGGCGCGCACGTCGCCGCCGGCTACTTGGCCTCCAAGGGCCTCCGCGTCCACGTGCTCACGCGGCAGCCCGACTTGTGGTCGGAGGAGATCCGCATCTCGACCAAGGGCAGTAGCTGGCAGGACAAGGGCGACATTCTCGGCCGTCTCACGCTCGTGACGAGCAACGCGGCGCAGGCGATCCCGACTGCCGACATCATCTTTGTGGCCGCGCCCGCGAACGCGCACCCGGCGATCCTCGAGAAGATCGCGCCGCACGTCAAGGCCGGCGCGGTCCTCGGCGCGCTCTTCGCCCAGGGCGGCTTTGACTGGGCGGCCAAGCGCGCGCTCGGTGCTACGACCTTGGATCGCCTGAGCATGCTCTTTGGCCTCCAGAACATTCCGTGGATCTGCAAGGCGACGACGTATGGGAAGGAAGCCAAGATCATTGGCCCCAAGAAGTGTCTCTACGTCGCAGCGTACCCTGTCGAGAAGAAGGACGCGGCCGCGCGCATCATGGAAGACCTCTTTGACATTCCGTGCACGACAGTCGCCAACTTTTTGAATCTGACGCTCACGCCGTCCAACCAGATCATCCACCCCGCGCGGTACTACGCCATCTTCCGCGACTGGGACGGCAAGAAGACGTACACGAAGGAGCAGCTTGCGCAGCGCAAGGGCCTCACCCTCTGTACGTCGGTGCACTCGATTATTCCTCTCTTCATACCTGGTATTAGACGCCGACTTTGACGAATTTTCGGCCGAGCAGCTCTCGATGCTCGACAACGAACTCCAGCAGGTCAAGCTCGCGCTCCTCCAGGTACACACGCCGCGGGATGACTGTCTACCACGCGCGTCCGTAGCGCTTTCCCGCGCTCGACTTGTCGGACGTTTTGCCCATGGACGCCCGTGTCGTCAAGCAGTACGGAGACGATGTCTCGGATCGGTGCGTGCGTGTTCTCTCTGTAGCACATGGAATAACGTTGGCGGCAGGAGCTCGCTCAAGGCGATCTTCGAGTCCAACTTGGGCTACCAAGGCTGTGTGACACCGCTCAACGAGGTGTCGCCGGGTCAGTTCCACCCGGCGGTCGGGTCGCGGTACACGACCTTGCTATTTTGGCTTGAAACATTGATAGTCGTGTTCCATTAGGCTCTTTTGGGAAGACATTCCGTACGGTCTGTGCATCTTGAAAAACATGGCCGAGATGCTCGGCAACTTCCCGACGCCGCGCATCGACTTTATGATTCGCTGGCACCAGCAGGTAACACCCGCTTCGACCCTCTTTACCATGTGCATCATCATCTGATACGCGTGTGTTAGTTTATGGGCGTCCAGTTCCTCAACGAAGACAGCCAGCTCAACCCGCGCGAGATTTGGCGCACCGGCGCGCCCAACAAGTACGGCATCCACGACATTGAGGACCTCGTCGAGACGTCGCTGCCGCGTGAGATGCACGGCTACAAGCACCCACGCTCGCGCATGTAAGCCGTGAACGACGGACCCGTCGCTGCAATATACAACCTTGCGTACAGACGACACGATTGTTACGTTGTTAAGTTAGGGACGACTAGGGCGACGACACGACGCATCGCATGCGGCGGTCGATGGCGACCATTCGGCTGCGGCATTCGTCGACACTGGCTTGGAGGTGCTGCAGGTCGGTCTTGGCGGCGTGGCTGGGGTCCAACGAGAGGAGCGTGAGCTCGGTGCTGAGGCTTTGCATGTCGAGCGTCAGCTGCTGCTTCATTTGCTCGAGTTCGCTTCGCGAGGCAGCCGGGTCGACCTTCCACGCGATAGGCGACGACGGCGCGCTGGCCGCCCGCAGCGTACTACTACGGGCTGATTGTTTGAGGCTCTGGCGGAACTGCGCAAAGTCGGCGACGAACGAAGAGCGCTCGAGGTCGCTGCTCGGGCACATCGAGTACAAGCTCGTGCTCGGCTCGCTCGACGAGATCATGCTCGCGCTAAGAAAGGACGACGACGGGCTGGGTGGCCGGGCGACAAACTCGACACGGCGGTGCACGGGCGTCTCGTCGTCGTCGTCGTCGCAGTCGTGGAACCGAATGCTGCGGTCGATCTTGGGCGTCGTCAAGTCCTCCTCGTCGATGCGGCTCTGGACGAGGTGCACGGTAGCTGTTGACGTCGTCGGCTGAAAGGTCTGCGGCGACGACGGACGCTCTGGCCGCATCGGTGACGTACCCGACGACGTCATCGTGACAGGTTGAGCGTGGTGTGGGCTTGGCGTTTCCCGATCAAGCATGCGCGTGTAGGTCTCCATGCGCGGCGTCGTGTGATCGCTCTCGGATGAGTACGACGCAAACGAGTCGTGGAGGCGGCGAGTCGTCGGCGGCTGCAAGAGCTTCTCGCGGGCGTGCACCGAGTGGTCGAGCTGCTGCATTGTCTCGGCAAACTTGAGCTGGACTTGCATGACCTCGGTCAAGAGCGGGCTCAAGTTCTGATGCGGTGGCACCGATCGGTCCTCAAACGACGCTGCCGCCTTGGCGTGGCGGCGCGGGCTCGTCTTGGGGCTCGTTTCAATGACGGCCTCGAGCATGTCTTGCAAGTGTCGGATCTGGTGCTGGATGAACTTCTCGGCCACGCTGCGCTGCTTGATCTCCCACGCAAGGCGTTGCTCAAGCTCCAAGTTCTGCTCCAGCGCGAGCCGCAGCTTCATCTCCCAGACGCGGATGTCGGGGCTGTAGACGTCGACGGGCGTCGGTCGCGGGCGCCGGTGGAGCGTGAGCTTCTCCTTCGCGACGCGGAGCTGCTCCTTGAGCGCGTCCGTCTCGAGCATGGTGGTCATAGCTAGCCGCTCTTTCACTTGTGACACAATTGCAGCCAGCGGGACGCGTATCCGGCTTGCCGCCCAAACAGTGTCCGGTTATCCGGATTGCGTGCACGCTCCAATGCGTTTCAAATTCAAAAACTCAAAAAAGCGCGCGGAAAACTCAAATATATTGCGCGCGTCTGCACACTACGACGCCAGCGTATACCGCGATATCCTCTGCAATCAGCGAGGCATAGCCGATTCTGGGCTATCGATGTGTCGACAAAAGAGCCTTTGGCGCGTTGACCATGGTCCCAGGCTTGGCATTGGATCGCACTACCTACATACATGTACTACTCTGGATCACCCACGCATCATCGCGCCGTCGACGATGATGGGCTGTGTGACCAGCGCCCGTGGCGACGACACATGTTGCGCATTCTCCCAAGCCAACGCGTTCCGAGTCTCTGGCAGTGTGTAGGTAGTCCCAGAAAGCCATTGAACTTGAAATGTAGAAAGGCCTTGTGGATTGTTCTCGCATGCGATCGAGTAGCATCAAGTACTCGACGCTCCATGCCCTCTGTGCCGCATGTACCGGTACTATAGCTAAAAGTTGGATAGAGATGCTCCGTGTTTGATGTTTGTTGGGGTCGACGTCGTCTCGAATCTGGTCAGTATTATTAACAGTGTAAAGACGAAAACGCCGCCGGGAGATATACACATCTCATCCATCATTACGTACGATGCCCCTCGCTAAGGAACGGCCCACGACTGCAGAAAGCTCGTCGTATCAAGCAAACGTGCTCGATGAAATTTACTAACGTTAGTATGTATTCTCGCAGTATATTTTGGGGCGATCCCGCCGTCGGACGTGGATCGGCAGGTGGTGTTCGTCGTCCACGCGACCCTACGTCTCGTGTCGCAACAGTATCTTTGCGTCTCGGTCGGATCCACGCGCGGCCGAATAAAACACGCACTCACATTATTGTCCTCTCCAACCTGTTTTTGAGTTTTATTTTTCCATAAAGGCAGTCTTTCAACCTCGTGACTTGCACGACGAGTAGCCCATAGTACTGCTACAATATTGTCTCTCAGCGTCGCTTGTGGCGGGCCGACAGGCGGCTGCGATGTCCACTTCTCCGATCCAAGAAAGCACACCCACCCACCAAATGTTGAAGTTCAAATCCAAGCAGCGCGACCACCACTCATTGCGATCGAGGACGCTTTACCTCGTAGACGTCTAAAAGGACGCTGCGAGGATAAAATACCCCATAGTGTAGTCGTAGCGGCAGCCTACAGGCAGGCTACACCCTCGCCGAGCCGTGTCCAATCGAATCTGATACGCGACTAACCGGTTTGAACTTCAAACGCACCGTGCCTCTGGGCGCGGAAGAGAGCACTCCGATAATTGGCTCCAATCGGCCAATCAAAGGCGGCGATTTCTGACTAAGTTGCGTGTTTTAAAAATTCAAACGCCCAGCTGGACCCCACTCTTCATTTCTGCAACACGACCAAGCCATGGCCAAGACGGACGCAAAGGAGGTGAAGCCGCGGAAGCGCTCCAAGAAGATTGCGACGACGGCGACCAAGGACGCGCCCCAGGATGGCGCTGCCAAGAAGCGCACGCCGGTCAAGGGCCCGTCCAAGACGACCAAGCCGAGCCCGGCGAAAGCGCCGATCGAGACCATTGTCATCGACGGCGACGAGTCCGAGACCAACAAGGAGGACGCGGAGGCCGAGGCCAAGCCGAACTTGAAGATTGATACCGTGGAGGCCACGACGACGGGCACGCCAGATTTCCTCTCGCCAGTACGGCACGCAATGGCACGATGGACGCAATGCTGACCTTTCTCTAGGTGAGCAAGCTTCAGCGCTCGCAAGAGATCGCTGCCAAGGAACAAGAGGCACGTCTCGAAGCGGCCGAGGCCAAGCGCCTTGCCGACGCTCGCCAGCGTGGCGCCAAGCGCAAGGACATGGCCTCAGATGCCGATGCGCCGACCCACACCAAGGTTGCCAAGACAGGCGTGCTCGAGACGGACGTCGAGACGACGACGACGACGACGATGATTCAGGAGACGACCATCAAGGCTGCGACGCACGCGGTCACGCGGTCCAAGATCCTCTCCGAAAAGAAGACCAAGATCGTCAAAAACATCGACGAGTCCGCAACCCAGTACGCATTGCGCGCCGCCAATATCAACAAGGAAGAGCGCAAGAAGATGGCCGCAGCCAAGGCTGCAATCGCTGTAGCCGAGCGCGAGGTCGTGCAAGCCGAGACGCCCGATCTGCCCAACGCGTCGAACGACGCACCAGCGACGCCGGCCGTGGCCACGAGCCCCGACGACGTGTACGAGACGCCCGAGTTTGTCGCCCGCAGCACCGAAGACCACTTCCGCAGCGTCTCTTCGACGACGACGACGACGTTTCCCGACGTCATGCACGTCGAAGAGGCTGTCGATACGTCGAATGACGCGCCGTCGACCGCCCTTGTTCGATCTCTGCCGGGCCCGAAGCGCTCGTCCACCGCCCGCGTCATCGCGTACGCCGGTGTCATTGCCGCCGCGGTCGGCGCTGTCGTCCTCGGCGCGACCTCGGCCTACGTAGAGCAGCTGCCGCACTGCGACGCCAATGCCACGGCTGCGGGTATTCCTTAAGACCATCCCTATATGGTGTAGTAATATATAAATGAACCTGCTGTAGACCTCCACTGCCGACCCTGTCCCACGCATGGCGTCTGTCATGACGGCGTCTTGGTCGACTGTGACCCCTCTTACATTGCGCTACGAGGCGAGTGCCACGAAGCCATGGGCCTCACGCGCGACTCGCGCTTGATGGCGACGATGCTCGCCGAGGTCTGGCGCAGCGAAGCCACGTCCGTGTACTGCGAGGTGCCGCTGGCATCCCGGCTCGAAGCGCTGGACCCGCTCCGTGTCGTGCAAGACCTCGGGCTGCCGTCGTCGGTCCCGCTCTCGACCGAAGCCCTGCGCCAACAGCTCCGGGCCGACCCTGCGTGGTACCATACAGAGTGTGATCCAGTGTTTTATCGCGCGTGCGGCTGTAGGAAGGAAATCGGACCCAAGACGTTTGGCATCGCGTTTTCAAAGGCGCTAACGCGCCTCGGCAAAAAGAGTGACGCGGCGTTCGTCGACTTGACCATCGATGACGCGTCGCCGTGGTGCCGCGCGACAACCTTTGTGCTGGAATACGTGACGGTACGCTGCGGTTGAAGGACGTGGTGTCGATGCCGATGCTTGTCTAGTCGGTCGTCCTCTCGGTGCTGCTCGTGGCGCTTACGGTCTTTGTCGTTGTCGACAATCAGAATTTTACGCGCGACCAAGCACTCGTAAGATTTCCTGAATCGCTGCCGAGGAGCTTTGTACGAACGAGTGTCGCATAGCTGGCGCGCATGATGGTCGTCGTCGAGGACGAGCTGATGACCCACGCCGCGTCCCGCGTCGACGAGACCGAGGACGCAGGCTACCCGATCCAGTACCTCCGCGACCACGTTGTCGATATCCTCGAGCTCTCGCGCGACGAGAAGCGCCGCGTTCTCTCGAGTGTGTGGCACCAGCTCTGCGCCGCGGTGCGCTCGGACCCCCGCATTGTCGAGCGCACGACCCCGTACGTATCATCTTTCAAATGTATCCAGTCCACCTCACGTGTGCCTGTAGGCGCTCGGGCGTCGTATGGGAGTGGGTCGGCGGGGCCAAGGCCTTTGATAGCTCGTCATTTCCGCCGTACGACCACACGACACCGGCGGCCTCCGTGCGGTCGGCGTAATCGCATCGGTCATGCAAGTAGGAATAGGAATGCGTCGTGTACAAGGTAGTTTATAAAAAAGATTCGTGGTTCGTTCACGTTGTCTTGCGATGCAACCCACGGGACGCGGGGGCCGACGCGGGTCGGAGCTGCTGCAGCTGTCGCAGACACCGCACGCCGGCCGGCAGCGGCGCCACCTCGAGGTTGAGTGTGTAGCCGTGCGCGGTGATGATATCCTGAGCGATCTGCGGCTCGGTGTGCAGCAAGGTCTGGAAGATGGCGACAAACTCGGGAAAGGCCAGCGTCTTGGGCGCGCTCTCTTTCGGTCGACCCAAGAGCTCCTTGTACACACGCCGAACTTCGAATCGGGACAAGACACCATTGGCCTTGGCGTCGTACGTGTCGAAGATTTTTCTACGTGTCTTAAAATGGACAAAGGTGGTCCAATGTGCACTCTCGTACTGGAGTGTCCCGATCGTGCGTCGACTCAGCATTGGGTTGGCACGCGCCTTGTGCACCAAGAGGTTGGCACTCCACTCTTCGGTCGTCGCATGCAGCACCCGGTCGTCCGCCGGTTTCGTCAGCCGCGGCGGCGACGTCTTGATCGGCACGTGGCCGACCCACGGCGTCGCAACGACAACCATGGGCTCGATCGGTTGGTGGGTCCGCGGCGGCTGCAGCAGGGCGTGGACGCGCGTCGGCTGGTTGACGACTCGCTGCGCCATCTGCGCATACGAGAGCGTACTCAACGTCTCGTCGACGGCGGCGCTGCCCGGTGCGACGGCTAGCAGCAGCGTCGTTACCGCCGACCCGCCAATGCTATCTTCCAAGAGCCGCTACACCACACACGTTTAGAGACATCAAAATAATTGCAAATGCGACTACCGTGAGCTTGCTTTCTCGGTACGGCACGTGCTTCCAGCCCTCGACGAGCGCCTTGATGACGCGGCCGAGGGCGAGGAGGCCCTGGCCAATGTTGGCGGCTTCCACTTGTCGATCTTTGAGACACCCCGCCCGCTCGTAGTTTTCCGAGCCACTGAGATCCACGAGACGGAGCTGCCCGCTGGCTTGGATCGACTGGCCGTCCTCGACGACTAGACGCAGTATATGGATCCGGATTGAACAGAAGACGGCAAAGTACGCACGGGTCGTGTCGGTGTACAAGGTGAAGATCGCATGCGACCGACTCGACTCCTATGTGAAACAAGATTCAAATCTGACAAGGTGAGAGAGGCGCGTTGGTTTTGCCTTGTTGCAGAGCGTGGCCGACTGCTGCCGGCACTGAATCGCGAGCTCGAGCAGCTCGTAGGCGTCCGCAGCGGATGTCACCGACACCTCTTGGAGCCCATGCACCCGCACACCATGCAGCGCGTGCTTGACAATGTGCAGCTTGCTTGGCCGACTCGCACTCTCGTCGTCGTCGTCGTCGCACTTGTCCCGACGACGGGTCTGTTCGTACTTCATGCGGACGCCGCGCTTCTTGGCCACGTCGCGGAGCGCCTTGGACGACGTCGATACCACATGCGGTCCGTCGCTTTGCCGCCGGAGACTCGCTGCAAGGAGGTCGAGAATCTCTTCGTTGTAGATCTCCACATACGAGAGGCGCACGCTTCGGATACAAGGCGACGCAAAGACCGTGTCGATGGCACGGTACATGAGACCTGCGTCCGCGCCGCGACGGCCCTGCATCGAGTGCGTCTTGCCCGAGCCGGTTTGCCCGTACGCAAACACGGTGCACGTGTAGCCGTTCATCGCATGCTGCACAATGGGCCGAATCGAAGTCTAGCGTCAAAATGATATATATCATTTCCGTGGACCGAAGAGACTACCGCAAACAGATCCTCTTGGGTCGTCGACGGACCAAACACCTTGTCAAAGTTGAACGCGCGGGGCTTTTGGTACGCATGAATTGGCTCGACGTAGACACGGTTGCCGTCGCAGGCGACGACCGACCGCTGCCCGGCGGCCTCTTCATGCACGAGCAGCGGCCGACAGCGCACGACGACCTTGATGTGCACGCGCTTGGGTGTGCTCTCGGGCGTTGGTGGTGTCGGTGGTGTCGTGGAAGGGGGCACCGTTGTCTCGTCGTCGCGGATACACGCCGACAACAAGTGCCACGTCAGCGTATCGTGCTGGTGCCCCTGGCGCCGTACACAGTAGAAAACCTCGCCGCGGCCCGAAAGCGTCAGCGCCAATACGGGCAACGCGCGCTCGAGCTCCACATGCAGCGTCGGCGGAGCGTGGTCTGGTGGCAGAATCAGCCGAGCGAGGCCACCGGACTCGGACTCGGCCAATCCCAGAAGAAAGGTTTCCGAGGGAGCGTGGTATGCGATGGCAGTGCACGGGGCGATGAGACGGACGTGGTGCTGGCTCACGCTTGCAAAGTCCCACGGCTCGGCCGACGTACTTGTTTCGTCGCTCGGACGACAGACCGTCACAAATTGCGTCGTTGCCCAGGCTAGGCATAGCGTGCCGGTGGCCGTCATGCACAGCGCGGACGGCGTTGCGGTCAACGTTGGCGCGTCGACGTTGAAGAGGACGCACCGCGCGTCACTCTCATCAATGTTGTCGTCGGCGGTGCGTGTCGCATAGTGCGTATACGATACGACGTGGTAGGTGGCGTCGTCCAGCGCTGGCTCGAGGAAGAGCAGCGACTCGAGATTCGGCGTCAAGCAAAAGCCGCCGTGTGGAACCGTACACTGGACAAGGCACACGACGCCGGTGGCATCGCAAACACATAAATCGCCATCGCCTTGCAGAAAGTAGAGGCGCAAAGCACCGTGCGTCGTCCCGAGGTGCAGCTGACGCGGCCGACGTAAGCTTGACTGCAGCACGCGCACGGCGCCGGAGGTCACATCGACACTGCCAAGGGTGCCGTGCAGCTCATCGAGCCAGTAGAGCGTTCTCGAAATGTCTGCAAACGCCAAGCTCGTCAACGCTCGGTTGGGCACCAGAATCGCATCAATGGGGAGCGGCAGCGATGTCAGAATCGCGTTCATCTCCGGTATACTCGCCGCTGGAAGTGGAAGAGACTGGCGCCGCTTGACGCGTCGTGGTACCGGAGCGTCGTCCTGCCGCGGCGTCACTCGGTCCAGCTTGGGCCGCAAGACGAGTTTGAGGCGCAGTGGACTGGACGTTGCGTGGGTAAAGTCGTTCATGGTCAGTTGGACCCAGTCGCCTTCGTCGTCGAGAAAAAGGTACGTGCACACACTCTCGTCCGGGGGTGCGATGACGCCGATTTCGGCGAGCTCGGGCGCGTGCAGCGATCGGAGGAGCGCATGCAGGTGGTGCAGGTCCACGCAGTGGCTCGTATGCACGTACTTGCGCTTTGGCGACTTGTGGAGGCACGCGCCGCTCTTGTCATGCAGCTCGACGTGGGACTTGGTCGTGAACGGCAGCGGCGAAGTGCTCATAGGTCGCGACGGACCATCGTTTTGTCCTTGTCAAAACGGCTGCCGTTTCGTGAGGACGACGACGAACGAGGCAACGTGGCGACTGTCTACCAAAGTGCATCGACGTCAACGTAGCACGCAAGGCCATTACCCCTTGCATGACCCCATTGAATTGCATGGCACTGTCGTGCCCAGCGACGACGAGACTGTACATATTGCACGATCAACAATGACCGTGTTGTCTACCTCGACCCTCTGCACCAACGATGGAGCTTGCACCACTCGCAAGCTATGGGCGACCGTCGCGAACCTTCTTGGTAGACGTCGTTGAAGCGTCCTACGGCAGTCGAGCAAGATTGCGCCTCGCGCGCTGCCATTGGTCGGTTCCAGCGTCAACCCGCGCTTTTGATTGGCTGTGATGGTTGCCAATCGTTGGCTCCCGTTTTTCGCTGTCCTAATTAGGCAAAATGAAAGTAGGACAGGAAATCAGGTCGGAGCCAATCAGCATTGAAGTTCGAACACGATCGAGCATGGCCAAGCCCGTGAAGGACGCGCGGAAGGCGCGCCGCCAGCAGGAGCGCAGCGAGAAGAAGCAGAAGAAGCAGATGCGCCAGGTCGCACACAAGGCGCCGGCCAAGCGCCGCCATGAGGACGCGCATCCGAAGCGCCGCCACGAGGAGGCGCCGGTGGCCAAGCGACCGAAAGCCGGCAACTTTCAAAACAAGTTCATGGAGATGATCCAGGCCCAGGCCGCCGAAGGTACGTCGCATGACCATTGCCAAGGGTACTAGGTTGTCACCGCTGCATGCAGGCGCCATTAGCTTGGACTCGGCCAAGGTGCTCAAGAAGCCGCAGTCCAAGACCGAGATCTCCGAGGAAGACATTGCGCTCAAGCGTCTCGAGAAGAGCCTCGGCCTGACCAAGACCACGGGCAAGGCAAAGCTCAACAAGTAGGATTGTACCCGATCGAGCATGGCGCGTATGGCATCGATGTGTAGGGAGTTTGAGAAGGACGGTCTTGGCGCCGACTTTGGTGATTTCCTCATGGGTCTCGACGACCTCTCTGCGTACGACCGGCCGCATTGAATCTGTAGCGACGGATGGATCATGCTGTAGACGCATCACGGGCAAGAAGCCGACGCCTACCGCCGACGATGATGCCGATAGTATCTCGGACGAGGGTGATGCCAGCATGGACGAGGACGAGGCCATGGACGACGACGAGGATGACGACGAAGAAGACGACTATGAAGGCATGGACGAAGAGACGCGTCGTGAGATGGAGCTTCTGGCGGAAGAAGATGCGGCTTTCCTCCAAGGTCCACTCTGCCTCTGCGTCGAAAGCTCACACCTTATCGTGTAGAAATGGACCAGCTCCCGACGGACGATGAAGAGGACGACGACGACGACCTCGCGCAGTTCGAATCGGACCTCTCGGAAGACGAGGGCGATGATGAGGTCGCGGCCAACACGGCGCGCAACCAACACCTCTGTACATCTCATGCGCATGTCATTGTGCACTCAAGACCCGTGTAGCTGCTAGCGACGACGACGACGACGTCGACTCGGACGAAGCCGACAAGCTCGACGAAGAAGTCGAAGACGACGAGGATAGCCAAGAAGATACAAAGGAAGACAGCGAGGACGAGGCCAAGAGCGAGGATAACGCTGGTAGCATCGACATCTCGCTGCCTGTACCGTACATGGGATCTGGACGTAGAGAAGACACCAGTCGTTGTCGAAGAAGACATTTACGGCCGCCCCAAGGTCGCGGCGCCAGGTACACAGCATCGCCCATCCCCATCAACTCTAATCTGTAGCGATGGGTAGCCATCTCGGCGACACGTTACGTGCCGCCGCACCTGCGCCGCGCCGCGACGACAGACGAGCAGCAGTTGCGCGAAGCTCGTCGCCGCATCAACGGCCAGCTCAACCGTCTCTCGGAGAGCAACATGGAGTAGGCTTCTTCATCCACTTTTTATCGTCTCATGGGCACGTGCGTAGACCGATTTGCATGGAGTTTGAGAGCATCTACCGCTCCTTTGTGCGTGCGGACGTCAACGCGATCTTGCTCGAGGCGCTCCTGGCGCTCTGCTGCCACGAGGTACATGCTTTCATGTCGTCCGTCTCGTGTCATGACGCGTCCGTGTCCGATTAGACCCAAGTGATGACGCAGCTCATCAACATTAGCGGTGCCCTCCTCGGCGCGCTCTTCCATTCGGTCGGCACCGAGATTGTTGGCTTCTTCGTTGAACACTTCGTCCAAAAGTTTGAGCAGGTAGAACGAGGATTTGGATATCGCGTGTTCATCGTCGTCGTCTAGGCGGTCGTGACGCTCCGCGCGTCGTCGTCCGACGACGAAGACGGCGAGACGCGGTCCAAGGAGGCGACGAACCTCCTCTTGATGATCACGACGCTCTACATGTTTGACACGGTGCACTGCGGCATGATCTACGACATCTTCCGCTTCCTCGTCGACTCGTTCACGGGTGTCGACATCGAACTCATTCACGCGCTTCTCCAAGGTCGTTGCTACAACTACTTCATACTTTAAACGATGTCTTCGTGTAGCGTGTGGCCCGTCGCTCCGCGCCGACGACGCAAGCGCGCTCACCGATATGATTGCGACCGTCCAGACCAAGGCCAGCCAGCACGAGGAGCAGTACGACCTTCGAAAGCGAGGTTCCTACGATGATGCCCTCCATCTAGGCGCGTCCGCTTCCTCCTCGACTTGATTTACAACCTCAAGAAGGCCACCAAGAAGACCAAGTCGAGCGCGTTCTCCAACGACCGCGTGCAGCAGCTGCGCAAATGGATTGGCCGCGTCAAGACGCGCGTCGGTCATGCCAACACGCGCTCCGCGTCTCGTTCTCGGAGCTGCTTCACGCCGACGGTACATGCTCCGCTCGTGTACTCGAGTATCTCACGCGGTTGCCTGTAGCCCAAGGCCGGTGGTGGATCATTGGTGGCACGTGGGTGCCTCCCGTACGTCGACAGTTCTCCTGATATTGGCCGCATGGTCATGGAATATGATCGCCTAGAGTCATGCGGCAAGTGCGGCTGGCGGCAAGGACGCCCAGCAGAACGCGTTGCTCAAGCTCGCGGAGAAGCAGCGCATGAACACGGGTGTGTACCTTGATAGATTGATATCTTGTGGACCCGTCACGACTGCGTGTAGATGTGCGCCGGTCGATCTTTTGCGCCATCATGGGCGCGTCCGACTGCATCGAAGCGTACGAAGGCGTGCTCAAGCTCGGCCTCAAGGACAAGCAAGAGCGCGAGATCATCCGCGTCCTCATGCACTGGTACGATATACTTGAGCACGACGAGGCTGGCTCACGCGATATATGTAGCTGCGGGAACGAAGCCAAGTACAACCCGTACTATGCGCTCCTCGCCGAGAAGTTTGCGACCGCCGACCCGCGCTACAAGTTTACGCTGCAGCTCGCGTACTGGGACGTCTTCAAGCAGGTAGACCGACGAGATATGAGGAGCATGGGATGATTGAGGCGATGCAGCTGGACGAGTGGAAGCCGCGCAAGGTCTACAACATGGCGTGCTTGCTCGCCAAGCTTCTCGAGACGGGCGCCATGACCCTCGCCGTCCTCAAGGTACGACTCGCTTGCCTGCGGCACGTCGTGGACACGCGTCGTAGGTCCTGGACTTTACCGACCTCAGCGACGCCACCGTGCTCTTCCTCCGCGTCGCTTTCGAGCGGATCTTGAGCATCGCCGACGACTCGGCGCTCATCGGTGTCTTCGAGCGCATTGCACAGCAAAAGTCCAAGGTCTGCGCGATCGCATGATCTGGCTCGCGCTCATCGTCGTTGGTAGATGGAAGCGACGCGGGATGGCGTCGCCGTCTTCTTCCACCAGCACCTCCTGCCGGCGCTCAAGACGCTGGAGGCCAAGAAGAAGGCCAAGATGGTCACGCGCATGCTCGACGCCATGGGCAAGCACTAGGTGCTGCCATGGGTGGGTGTGCTGGACTTGGCAAATTGACAACTGCGAGCCGAAACCTTGGGTTGCTTTTAAAATACATGACTTTCGATACAATTATCAAGCTTTCTTTGTATTTTGCATTCTAATACCGTCCTATCCAAATCGCCCACTCTGGGATATTCGCATCATGGCGACCTTCCATGTGCGACTCAACATGGGCGACGAGGTCGCGGACGCCGAGGACGATGGCGGCAGTACGACGACGATGGCCTTCGAGGTCGGGAACCCCCGCGTCGAGGTGCTCACGGGCCACTTGCGCCTCTTCCGGTCCATGCCACATCCTCATCCGCGCCACGAAGAGACCAAGGACGACGACAACGACGCGAGCGACCAGTGGCTGCATCTCTCGACGAATGCCATCCTCGAGATGAACCTGACGCTGCTCGGCTTTGTGAGCCTCCCGCTCCATGTCGGGCCGCTCGAGCTTCTGGAGTTTACCCAAGCGTTCCGCGACGAGATCGTGCTCATGCGCCTGCTCCGCGACGCCAACCCGCGCCACCCGACGCGCATGGCGCTCGTCCAGTTTGCGAGCGCCGCCAAGGCCGCCCAGTTTTACGAAGCGTTTAACGGCACGCGCTTCAACTCGATCGAGCCCGAGCGCTGCAAGCTCGTCTTCGTCCGCTGCATCGAGTTTCTCCGGACGCATCATCCAAGCGCCGGACCGCTTTCGCGCGTCAACGGTCACCTCGTGGCCAACGGCATGCTCCCGGCCTTCAACAACGACGAATTGCGCTGCGATGCGCCCGATGGCCACGTCGAGATCCCAACGTGCCCCGTGTGCTTGGACCGCCTCGATACGTCGGTCTCGGGCGTCCTCACGACGCTGTGCAACCACACGTTCCACTGCGACTGCCTCTTTGGCTGGGAAGGCTCGAGCTGCCCCGTGTGCCGGTACAGCCACGGCGACATGGTCTCGACGTGCGAGGTAGCCTTGACCTCCGTGTCTTGGGATGATGAAACGCGACCGCTAGGTCTGCGAGACCACCGAGCATCTTTGGATCTGCTTGATTTGCGGCCACATTGGCTGCGGCCGGTACTCGAACGAACATGCTAAAAAGCACTACCAAGAAACCATGCACACGTACTCGCTCGAGCTTGAGACGCAGCGTGTGTGGGACTACGCAGGCGACGGGTCGCGTCTCCTTCTTCGATGTCAACCTCATATTGGCTCTCGCCATGTCCTAGGTATGTGCATCGGCTCATCATGAACAAGCAAGACGGCAAGTGCGTCGAGTTCCCGAATCCAAACGCGCACGCGTCCATGGCCGGCGACGACGACGTGAGCGACGAGCACATCAAGCTCGAGAAGCTGGCGGCCGAATACAACCACCTCCTCACAAGGTATTCTACCAAGCACGCACGCACGCTGGGCTCACGATGGCGGTAGCCAGCTCGAGGAGCAGCGGCTCTACTACGAGCGGCGCATGGGCGATGCGTCCGAGCGCCGTGCCCTCGACCACGAGCGCAAGGCGCTCAAGCGGCAGAACGAAGCGCTCGCGAAGAAGACGTCGCAGCTTGAAGACGAGCTCTTGTTTGTGCGGTACCTCCCGTCTCTTTTCGACCGCCGCCTCATACAGGCCGCGTGTAGCGAGCTCAACAAGTCCCTCATCGAGAACCAAGCGAGCTGGAAGGAGCGCGTCAAGATCGCCGAAGACAAAGTGCAGACGCTCGAGCGCAGCACGCAGGCGCGCGTCGACGACCTCGAGTCGCAGATCAAAGACCTCATGTTCTACCTCGACACGCAAACAAAATCGAGCACAGCGTGCACAGGCGCGAGATCCAAGACGGGTCCATCTCGGTGCTGGCGCCCGACGAATCCAAGCCCAAGGCCAAGCGAAGTGCCAAGAAGCGCTGAATTGCATGCATACATGTATTATGTGGTGGTGTTCCCTCTTCTTCTGCGGACGCGACGAGCACGGACATCGTTTAGTGAAACTCGTTGGGGGCCGTCCACGGCTTCTCGTCCTCCGAGTCGTAGTAATCAAAGAGGCTCGACGACTCGAGGCCAAGCAGCGGCTTCTCGCGGTGGATGCGCATGCTCTCGACAAAGAGCTTGACGAGGCTCACGTTGGTCAAAAGCGGAATCGAAAAGTCGGCGGCCGTCCGGCGAATGAGGTAGTTGTCCTTGAGGCGCTTCGAGTCCGAGGTCGGGAGGTTGATGACCAGGTCGATCTTGCCTTCCTTGATGTAGTTGAGCACGTTCTCTTCGGCGCTCTCCTCGTCGAGCGGGAACGCGAGCTTGACACTCGGCACGTTGTACTTGGCCAAAAACTCGTGCGTCTTCTCGGTCGCATGGAGCGTGTAGCCAAGGTTGACGAGGTCGTGCGCGTGGTGCACGAAGTCCGGCGAGACCTTGTCCTGCATCGACAAGAGCACGTTCTTCTTCGGGAGCTTGAAATTCGACGAGAGCAGCGCCTTGAGGAACGCCTCGTGCTTGGTCTTGCCAAAGCAAGCGACTTCGCCCGTCGACGCCATCTCGACGCCGAGGAGCGGGTCGGCGCCGCCGAGCCGCGTGTACGAAAACATCGGCGACTTGATACCGACATACTCTTGCGGCCGAATCGGGTCAAACAAGCCCGGGAGGTTGTCTTTCGACGTGTCGGCGCCCACCATGACCTTGGTGGCCGCGCTGATAAAGTCGGCGCCGACCGTTTTCGAGACAAACGGAAAGCTGCGCGACGCACGCAAGTTGCACTCGATCGCGAGCACGTCCGCGCCCTTCGCCAAAAACTGCGCGTTGAAGGGCCCGGAAATGTTGAGTGCCTTGGCGATCTTGGCGCCGGCGTGGCGGACCTGGTCAATGTAGTAGGCGCTGAGGTCCACGGGCGGCAGAATCAAGGTGGCGTCGCCAGAGTGCACGCCGGCGTTCTCGACGTGCTCCGAGACAGCCGCCGCGATGATCTCGCCGTTGCGCGCGACGCCGTCGAGCTCAATCTCACGCGCCCCTTCGACAAACTTGGTGATGACGACCGGGTGGTCTTGCGAGACGGCGGCGGCTTCGCCAAGGACGCGCGCCAGGTCGTCGTCCGAGTAGGCGACGTTCATGGCGCCCCCGAGAGCACGTACGACGGGCGGACGAGCACGGGGTAGCCCACGTCGTGGGCAAACACCTTGGCCGCGTCCAAGCTCGTGAGCTCCTTCCACGCCGGCTGGCGCACGCCGGCGCGGTCCATGAGCTCGGAAAACTTGTGGCGATCTTCGGCCGAGTCGATCATCGTCGGGCACGTGCCGAGGACGCGGACGCCGGCCTTGTGCAGCGGCAGCGCGACGTTGTTGGGGATTTGGCCGCCGACCGAGACGACGACGCCGGCGAGGTTCTCCCGGTCGTAGACGTCCAGAATGCGCTCCTTCGAGAGCTCTTCAAAGTACAGCTGGTCGCACTCGTCGTAGTCGGTCGAGACCGTCTCGGGGTTGTAGTTGAGCATGACCGCGCGGCGACCGAGCTTCTTGAGCGTCCGGATGCACGAGACAGCACACCAATCAAACTCGACCGAGCTGCCAATCTACACGGCAATCCAGTGAGTGCGTGCGTTCTCCAACGAAAGGAGAGATTACATACCCGGTAGGCACCGGACCCAAGCACCATGACACCGTCGTTGGGCGGCTGGTCGGCCACATCGTTCTCGGTCGCATTGTACGTCGTGTAGAGGTAGTTGGTCGCCGCCGGGTACTCGGCCGCCAGCGTGTCGATCTGCTTGATGACGGGAATGATGCCACGGGCCTTCCGGTCCGCACGCACGGCGTCGTCCGAGCAGTGGAGCATGCGTGCGAGCTGGCGGTCCGAGAAGCCGACCTCCTTGGCCTCGCGAAGGAGCGTGTCCGAGACGGCGCCGAGGCTCCCGAGCTTGGTGAGGTCGTCGTCGAGGTCGGCGATGCGCTGGAGACGGCTGAGGAACCACGTGTCGATCTTGGTCAAGTCGTGGATCTCCTGCACCGAGAGGATGTTTTCGCGCAGCGCATACGCGATCTGGTACATGCGCTTGTCGGTCGGGCGTTGCAGCGCCGCCATCAAGTCGGACTTCGAGAGCGCGTCCTTGGCCTTGGGCTCAAACCCCTCGATGCTCGGCTCCACCATGCGCAGCGCCTTCTGAATCGTTTCTTCAAACGTGCGGCCGATCGCCATGACCTCGCCGACACTCTTCATGCTCGAGCCAATCTCCGTGCTCACGTGCTCAAACTTGGAGAGATCCCAGCGAGGCACCTTGGCCACGCAGTAATCGAGCGACGGCTCAAAACACGCCGACGTCGACTTGGTCACCGAGTTTTTGAGCTCCGGGAGGTTGATACCGAGGCCGAGCTTGGCGGCGACAAACGCAAGCGGGTAGCCCGTCGCCTTGGACGCGAGCGCCGACGAGCGCGAGAGCCGCGCGTTGACCTCAATGATGCAGTACTCTTCGCTCTCGGGGTTGAGCGCATACTGGATGTTGCACTCGCCGACAATACCGAGGTGGCGCACGACCTTGAGCGCCGTCTCGCGGAGCATGTGGTACTCGCGGTTGCTGAGCGTCTGGGACGGCGCAATGACCATCGAGTCGCCCGTGTGGATGCCGAGCGGGTCAAAGTTCTCCATGTTGCAGACGGTAATGCAGTTGTTGGCCGCATCGCGCACGACCTCGTACTCGACTTCCTTCCAGCCCTTCATGGAGCGCTCGACGAGGATCTGCGGTGAACCCGCAAACGCCTTCTTGGCCATCTTGGTAAGCTCCTTCTTGTCCTCGCAAATGCCGCTGCCAAGACCGCCAAGCGCAAAAGCCGACCGGATCATGACCGGGTACCCAATCTTGTCGGCGGCCTCGAGCGCCTCGGTGACCGACTCGGCTGCAAAGCTCGTTGCAATCTTCTCGTTGATCTCCTTGAGCTTGGCGTTGAAGATCTCGCGGTCTTCGGTCGCTTCGATGACGGGGATTTGCGTACCGAGCACCTTGACGTTGTACTTTTCCAGAATGCCCTATGCATGGAGATTGCACTTAGCAAAGTGCAAACTCAAATCTCAAATCTCAAAATACATACCTTGTGGTGCAGGTCGACACCGCAGTTGAGCGCGGTTTGGCCGCCCATCGAGATGAGGATACCGTCCGGGCGCTCGCGGCGAATGACTTGCTCGACGAAATCGGCGTTGACCGGCAGGTAGTAGACGTTGTCGGCCTGCGCCTCCGTCGACTTGTCGACGTTGGTCTGGACGGACGCAATGTTCGGGTTGATCAAGATCGTGTGGATGTTCTCTTCCTTGAGCGCCTTGATGGCCTGCGACCCCGAGTAGTCAAACTCGCCGGCTTGGCCAATGCTGAGGCCACCCGAGCCAAGAATGAGCACCTTCTTGAACTGCGGGCGCGTCGTTGGCGGCCGCTGCACGAGCGACGTGATCGGGCCCGTCGTCTTGGTGCGCACTGCATCGAGGAACGTGTCAAAGAGGAACTCCGTGTCGGTCGGGCCGCCCGCGTGCTCGGGGTGGAACTGCGCCGTGAAGAATGGCTTGGTCTTGTGGATGATGCCTTCGTTCGTGCCGTCGTTGCCGTTGACAAAGAGCTCTTCCCAGTCGGTCGGGAGCTTCTTCCCATCGAGCGCATACCCGTGGTTCTGTGCCGTAATGTACGACTGGCCCGTCTTGAGGTTGTTCACGGGCTGGTTCTGGCCACGGTTGCCAAACGGCAGCTTGTACGTATCCGCCCCCGCCGCGCGCCCGAGGAGCTGGTTCCCGAGGCAAATGCCGAAAATCGGCTTGACGGTGTCGGCGGCAATGATCGTCTCGAGCTGCTGCACCGTGTGCTGCAGCATGGCCGGATCGCCGGGGCCGTTCGAGATGAAGAGACCATCGTACCAGTGCATTTCGGACACAATGTCGTGGTTCCACGGCACGAGCTTGACCTCGGCGCCGCGCTGGACGAGCTGGCGGATGATGTTGTACTTGATGCCGCAGTCGACCGCGAGGATCTTGAGCGGGTTGCCCTTGCCGTAGATCTTGACGTCCTTGGTCGAGACTTCGGCGACGAGGTTGCGCGTGTTGGGATCTTCAAACGCCGGCGCCGGCGACCCGTCGACCACGATGCGGCCTGTGAGCGCGCCTTTCGCGCGGATCTTCTTGGTGAGCGCGCGCGTGTCGATGCCGGCGATCGCGGGAATCCCTTCCTTGACAAGCCATTCGGAGAGCGACGACTTGGCGTTCCAGTGGCTGTGGTGCTTGGAGTAGTCTTGGACGATCATGCCTGCCGCATGGATCCGGTTGCTCTCGAGGTGCTTGTGGAGGCCATACTGGTCGAGCTCTTTCGTGCACGGCACGCCATAGTTGCCGATCATCGGAAAGGTCATGTTGAGGATCTGGCCCTGGAAGGACGGGTCCGTCAAGGCCTCGGGGTACCCGACCATGCCCGTCGTGAAGACCACCTCGCCCGCCATCGACTGGTCGGCGCCGAACGAGATGCCAGGGTACTTGGAGCCATCCGAGAGCTCGAGGACCGCGCGCTTCTCGAAGGATGGAACGCCCGCCGGTCGACGCCGGTCGACATGTGCTTCTGGCGGAAGCTAATCATCGGTGCTCGTCGTAGTCGATACATCGTCCTGCTCGTCCTTCTGCGGCTGCGGCAAATTGGATTGTGATCAAGATCTAAAAAGATCTTGCGTCGAAGTTGGCACCGAACTTTATATTAGGATTGATGTATACGAGACATTGGCATGTGCAACTTCGATTTTAGCATACAAAACACAAGCTCACGAGGTTGATGGTCGAAGTGGACGATCGACCGCGCATCCGATTGGCCGGTAGAGGCAGCGTTAGGTTTCGAAACCGTCTCACTTGGAGATATAGGTACATAAAAAGGTACTTTGCTCACGGAGAAACGAACCAAGATCGCAGTAGATACTTTCAAGCAAGGGATAATTCCCTGGCCTCCACATAAGCTTACTCGTCGTTGTGTACCGACTCGGATACATCGCATTGCCCTATCAGGGCGTGATGGCCACATGGTCACTTCAATGCGGCCATATTGAGAAAGTCGAGATAAAGATATCCTGATATAGGATGATTTGGAAAGGTGTCACGAAGGCCCCCGGAGTGAGTAGAGTGGGATCGTGGCGGGGGACGTGCTTGAAGCGGCCACCGTGGTCCGGAAAATTCCTATGAGCAATGGCCGGTCACATGGGTACCTCGTGCTTTGACCTGCTACATGACGCTACGACGAAGCAGACCGAAGCCGTGAGAGATTTCCAATCGCCACTGGGACACGTGAACCGAGTCAATTGGGTTGGCATCGCTTCGCTTGACGTATGTATGCACCCAGGTGGATTGTCCACACGAAACTTTCTACGGCACCAAGACGGTGGCGAGCACATCCTCCGTTCCTCCTGCTGCATATTATTTGTAAGCACGCGCCAGCGCATGCCGGATGATTGACTGCGCTTACAAATGTGGGGCCTTCTTCGTGGCCGCCCAGCGAGTTCACGTGGTGGACGTTGCGACTGCGATGTGCAACGACACCTTGGATTCCATAAACATCATGGCAAGAGGCGATGCTTGTGGCTCGTAGCAAGCGATGTTGCTGCAGTGTAGTAGTACATGTGTACGTGCCATCGTTTGGCTCTCGCTCAAGAGTCGCCAGCATCATCATCACGGTTGCCGAGATCAATAAACTGGTTATTGACGCTTGCCGAAATCGAGCTGTCACTCGTACGCTTCTCAGAACGCTTGGGTCCATCAATGCTACTCAATCAACGTTGCCTTTATACGCCTCGTCGCTCTCGGACCGTTGTCGATGACGACGTAGAGCAGTCAGCGGACGCTAGGTCCGATCGTAGTGGGTTGTACGTGGCACGCCCATGTGGCACATGTGCTACGGTATCCGGATGGTTCGGCCCGACGATATCTTTGGTTCGCACAAGTTCGACGCTCGTTTCAAGTGCGCTTTGTATTTCATCCAATCGCAGCGCGCTTGCTTTTTGTCCAATGAGCGGCCATCCAATTTGATTGGATAGCTGATTGGGCTGTGGGCATCGCGGCTCTAATTTCCCATCTTCAAGATCTATCGCGGCCAAGATGGAGCAGAGCAAGCTCGTGGCCCTGCATGACATGCTCCAGCGCCTGCGCCCCAAGGGCAAGTCCGTACGGCTTCCTCTACCCTCCTAGTTCCCGCCGCACCAACTCACAAGGTTGCGAATTAGGGCGGTCTCGGCTCGGGCGGCAGCTTTGGCTTGAAGTCGCACGGTCCGCGCGACGACGGTCTGCCCAACAACGGTATCGACTATGCAAACCCCCGGCTGCATCGCCAACGAATATGCCTGTAGGTCTCTACTCGATGTTTGTCCGCGAAGGCCATGGCGGCTACGCCCACAAGCACTTTGAGGACGACAAGGTCGACGCGTCTGACGCAGAGTCGGAGAAGAAGAAGGCCAAGAAGGAGAAGAAGGCCAAGAAGGAGAAGAAATCCAAGAAGCGCAAGCAGCAAGAAGACGTTGAAGACGTCGAAGAAGAGGAAGAGGAGGTCAAGCCCAAGAAATCCAAGAAGACCAAGAAAGCCAAGGTCGAAGACGTCGTCGTTGAAGAGGTCGTCGTCGAAGAGGAAGAGGAGGTCAAGCCCAAGAAATCCAAGAAGGCCAAGAAAGCCAAGGTCGAAGACGTCGTCGTTGAAGAAGACGTTGAAGACGACGTTGTTGTCGAGGAGAGCCCGAAGAAGAAGTCCAAGAAGGCCAAGAAAGCTAAGGTCGAGGAAGCGGTCGACGAAGACGTCAAGCCCAAGAAGGCCAAGAAGGCCAAGAAGAGCGCATAGACGACCACAGCGGATGACTTGAAATAGACAATTGATATATTGATATTATATGCACGCGTCGCCAATTTGCGACTCGTACGATCCAATGCGTTTGCTACCGGTACCCAAGAGAATCAAATTCTCCTTCCCAATGAGCCGCAACCCTTCGATCCCATCGTCGTGTTGGTCCACCCGCGATCCAATCTACCTCCCATGCATTGACGTGCTTTCGCGCACCATGCCGCAGTGCCATCTCTGTATGACTCGCCGTGGTCTTGCCAATATGCACTCCTCGGTGTATTGACTGCGTGGGTTCCAGCCTCGTCGGTGGCCGTGACCAAACGAGCCATGCAACGAGCTACCGTCGTCCTGCGCGTCATGGCCAAAAGTAAATAGCATCGTCACACATGCCTTCTCCATTGTCCTTAGTACGCGAGAAGCCGTTAATGCAGTCCGAGGCGCTCGTCCATGCCCAGCGCCAAGTTGATATTCTGCATCGCTTGGCTCGCAGCGCCCTTAAGGAGGTTGTCGATGGTCACAACAAGGGCGACGCGCTTGTTGGCTCGGTCGACGCTAAAGCCTCCGATCGTCGCGTGGTGCTTACACGCGTTCGCCTTGACCTGCGGCACGCCCTGCGGCAGCACCTGCACGAGCGGCTCGGTGGCATAAAAGGACTGGTACAGCGCCGCCACGTTCTCTTCCGACATGGTACTATCGTGGGCCAATTGCAGCGACAGCGTGAGATGGATGCCCTGGAACCACGGTGCGACGTGGGGCATGAACGCGACGCGCGTCCCGAGCTGGTGGCTCACTTCCTTCTCGTGAATGTGCTCCACGCTTTTGTACGCAATCAAGTTGTCGTGCAACACCGCCTCGTTGTTGTTGGGCGAGAGACCGGTGCCCGCCCCGCTGTAGCCGGAGACGCCAAAGATATGCGGCGGCACGGACGTATCGAGGTACGGCAGTAGCGGGAGCACGCCGAGCTGCGCGCCGGTGGCGTAGCAGCCCGGGTTGGAGATGCGCGTCGCGCCACGGAGCTTGTCGCGTGTGCCTGGCGTCTCGGGCAAGCCGTAGACCCACTGCTTGTTGAAGCGCTGGTCGGCGCTGAGGTCGATCACCACTTGGTTTGGCTCGTGCAGCGCGTCGAGGGCGGTCGCGTACTGCTGGCACATGCCATTGGGCAGTGCAAGGACCCACACGTCGACGTCCCGAGCGATGGGCGCCGTCGCCAAGTCCTTCTCGTCGAGCGAAGAGAACGCGAGCTCGGGGTTGAGCCGCAGCGGCGTGTGGTAGACACCGGTCGCCGGGCGGTTCGTGTGCGGGTTGAGGGGCGGCGCGGTCGCCAGGTCGAGGACCTTTTGGCCCACGAGCGCCCGCGAGCTCGCGACGACCAAGTCCAATTCCGGGTGGCCGCCGAGGACGCGAATGAGCTCGCGGCCAACGTAGCCGCGCGCGCCCATGAGCCCCACCTTCTTCTTTCCGCTACAAAAGTGCAGCGGCGCGTCGACATTATCGCCGCCGCGGATGCAGACCGTGCCGGCCGAGTGCCCCGACACGATTTCGCTGGCGAGCGCGGATGCGGACGTGAGCACGACCGACGACGTGGACGGCAGCGCCTGCAGCAGCGTGTTGATCTCGTTGAGCTTGAGCAAGGTGCCTTGGCGCCCCGTGTAGTCGCGCGCCGCCATGGTCGCATAGTCCTTGCTCATGTCCAGTTTGGGTAGTTTGACGCCGTCTTCGAGCCAGCCACCCTTGGCGTTGATGAAGATCGTCTTGTGCGGCTGCAGCGTGATCGCGAGCTCGCGCGCTGCGACGTCGGCGTTGATGTTGAGCAGCTGCCCGGTTTTGGACTCGCCGAGGCAGGAAAGCACGGGGATCTGGCCCGCGTCGAGCGCCGACCGCACGGCGTCGCTGTGGATCGTGTCCACCTCGCCCACATAGCCAAAGACGTCGAGGTCCCGCACCGCGGCCTCAAAGACGCCGCTCGTGATGGGCCGCGCGGGCACGCCGGCGGCCGCAAGCGCGTCCACGAGCTTGCGGTTCGCGGCGAGAAAGACCTTCTTCGCGATACCAAGCGTCGTCTTGTCCGTGTACCGGTTGCCTTGGACGTAGCGCGGCTCGACGCCGGCCTTTTCGAGCTCGTCGTTCATCTGCGGGCCCGCGCCATGCACAAGGATCGGGAAGAGCCCGGCCTCTTTGAGAAACGTGAGCGACTCGACCAGCGTGTCCATCTCGTTCTCAAGCACTTCGCCGCCAATCTTGATGACGGTCGTTCGGCGCACGCCCGGCGTGCCATACGTCGCCTTGTACTCGGCCAAGTCGGCGTCCGACGAGACAATCGAGAGCAGCTTGCGGATGACGTCGGTGCTCGCCGGCGTCGGGGGCACGGGCGCCGTCGCGAGGCCGCGAAGCCCATTCTGGCGCAGGCGCAAGCGGGTCTGCTTGGCCGCATGGAAGAAGAAGCGGCGCGTCAGCATGCGACCCACGTCGTTGAAAGCGAAATGCAACCCGAGGATCTGGCGGTGGCTTCAAGTGCACTTTGGATCGCATCGCACTTAACCGAAATACCATCTTTTTAGCCAATCCACGTCGAGGGCTCTGGACCGCAAGAACGCCACCCACTCGATGACTGACGCGCCAAGACAGATGGTGCTGCCACGTCAATCCTCGCTTCAATCCTCGCTTGGTCTCGTGATGGAGCGCCCCAAGCATACTAGTACCAAGGCCATAAATGTATATTTATGGCCTTGTTTTTTACGGCCTTGCTAGTACCGAGCACAATTGAAGCGCAATATATGTGTGTACAGACTTCTCGGAGACGCAAAAGCAGCCGTGCGAGTTTGACAGCAGCGTCCATCCTGACGCGATGGCATCACACACCGTCGGCGCGTTGGTGGGCGTCGGTCAGTGCCGACACTGGGAGATACCTCGGGCTCGCCGTCGCGAAGACGGGCGTCGAGCGTCCATGCGAGCGTGGCGCCAGCACGATCATCATTCCTATCAGCTTCCTCGTCTCCATGTTGTGGATCGTAAACTGAAAAGTGAGATGCGAGAGCCATGAAAAGGGCGTCGACACGGCTCGTTCTCGCTGTCTGTACTGAAGCCGCTTCTCGCTGTCTGTACTAAAGCCGCTTCTGCCTTAGTACAGCACTGACATGACATGCAATTCGATTGGAGAGGGTTTCCTCAAACGACCCGCTACGATGTCAAGTGGGGCAGACTCGTCGTCGAGGGCTGGAGAAGACTGCTATAGGGACTGCCAAGCAGCTTCATCTTGGCTTTCTGCGTATGTAGCGCGCGCTGCTTGGCCAGCACGAAGGCGCGGTCGTCGCTCTCAACACCACCCTCCGCGACGTGCTCGTCGCTCTCGGTGTGCGGTAGCGTTGTGTGTTGAGCGTGGAGCGTCCAGCTTTCGTGCACGAGGCGCCAAAACCGCTCGAGCGACTCGTCGATGGCGGCAGCAAAGACTTCGCGCTGGCTGCTGCAGTTGGCGCGCACCTCGTCCAGACCCACGCGCTTGGCCGCGAAAAGCTCGGGCTTGGTCTTCCGCAGGCCACGCGCCGAGACCGGCGCTTGCAAAAGCAGCGGCGCCGCGGTCGGTCCTTGTGTCGTCGACGGCACTTTGAGCAGCGACGTGATCGCACTCACGTCCACGGACGAGACGGTCACATCACACGGCAGCTGCGTTCCGAGCGGCTCGGGCGACGTGGACGACACGAACCGATACTATGCATGGCTAGAAGAGTCCCATAAAATAGGGGACGACGAACTTGCAAGAGAAATTCGGGAAGGACGCAGGACGCGTCATGCACGACATACTCGTCCTAGCGCTCGCCGTTTTGCCTCCGACAAAGCAACACATTGGATAACTTGATACCTCGGACGCGAGGTACTCGGTGCAGGACGGGTCGAGGATCACGCGACAGAGCGCCAAGTAGCGCAGCTCGCCACGCGTCGATGACGCGATCGCGTCGGCCTTGTACTCGAGGAGAGTGCTGTAGCGCGAGAATCGTTTTGGCAACTAGAGTCCCTCACGTCTCTGTCCCGATGTAGCAGAATGCCGCACCTCAACGGCCGGTGACGACGTGGCGAGCTGGCAGGCGTACGTGTGTCGATGGCCTCGGATCGAGTACCAGCTGTCTTTAAAGATTGGCAGACTCTTCTTGTCGTCGTCGTCGCTGGCCATGCCCCGCGCCACGCAGCGCGGCAAGGACGCGGCTGGGAGCGAGCAAAAGAGGCCCTTGATCTTGTACCCGCCAATACTTGCGCGGGCTTGGAAGCCCGAGAGCAGCGGGCGATGCTCCATCTTGTACACGTGCTGCACCTGCATCTCTACAGCAGCCTGCGATCAACTTGAAGCCACAACAGTGGCTTGTACGTACCCGAGCCCCAGCCTTTGCGGGCGTTTTCAATCGCAGCCCGGCGACACCGGAGGCCCTGGGCGTTGGTCTCTTCAAGCCGACGGAGCGTCACGTCTCCACCCGTCTCGCTCTCGAGGTACACGGCAAACGTACTATTATTACCAGTTGGAATCGTGGGTCAGAAAGAAAGGGCAACCTCAAGTGCAATGTGGCCTTGGCCGCCACTGCAGCGTCGTCGCTCACTCTGACCTGGTCGCGCAGCCACTGCTGCACGTAGCGCAGCTCCGTCTCGACCGTCGCGTAGTAGCGAAGCACGAGCGTCATGAGCACGTGGTCGAGCACGCGGTGCAAGCCGTCGTACGCGTCAAGATACGGCTGCGGTAGCAAGCGTAGCCGGTCGACGACGGGAGCCACGTTCCGCAGGCGCTGCTTCTGGAGCGTGAGCAGCTCGAGGCGAGCATTGGCCTTGCGCTAGCATACTCTAGCATGAGAAAGACCCGTCGACCACGTGAACTGTACTATGTACGCGATGGAGTTGACGCAATGCGTCGAGGCGCGCGCGCTGGGCAGCAAGGTGCGTGCGATGCCGGTCGTCGGCGCCGGACAAGAGCGCGACCATCGACGGCTCCATGCCGCCAAGCAGCGTTGCTTCTGCGCTGTGCCGCATCTGCGCAAAGATGAGCTCGCCGCTTGCCGCCTGCATGCGTCGCTTCAAAGAATCGAATCTTGTTGGTTTCGAAACACTGTCTGAGACAGTGGATGTTCTCATCCACTGTCATGTACAGCGTCTTTGCACCCACACCGTGAATGCAACGCGTGCTTGAAAGAAGCGCCAGAAGAGGCCTGCGCAACTCCGTTTCGTTCTGTACTAGATCCACCTCTTGGATTCAACTCGTCGTTCTACTCCAAGGTCGAGAGCTCGAGCAAGCTCGAGTGGTTCGCCACGTCATGGAGCTGCGACGATCGACCAAGCGACGATGCGAGATCGACGCGGACCTCGCCGTCTTGTCGCGGAGCTTCGTAGCTTCGGAGCGCCGTGCGTGTAGCCAGTGTCCGACGTAGCAGTCGCAGCTGGGCCTTCTCCATCGCTTGGGCAAGCACGGACGGCGTCATTTTGGGTGGCGTCGCCGCGTACACGTCATCAAGGGGCCCGCGGGTCCAGCCTACGCGCCTGCGTTCCACCTATAAAACGTACAAGTACGTACGTGGCGAGCGACGTCGAGGGCTTGAGCCGATGGGTTTTTCGCGGTGCTTGGCCAATCGCTGGGTTGCGACTTTGGCCAAAATCGCATCCACACGGGCGCGGCTCGCCTCTTGTCGCGCCTTGGAGGTCGTCGTCGTACTGACCTCCAGGGGTTTCTATGCATCGCGCTTGATACGTTGATAGCTCGGTACCAACCCACCTGCAAAACGGAGCCGTGCCCATCGAGCACGAGGAGCAGAGCTTGAAGTCGCTGCGACGGCGTGGCGTCCGGCTATTCATTCCCATCATTCGTCAAGAGGTTGCACCACGACGCAAGGACGAACGCTGTCTCGAAGCAGCAGCTGCGCGATATCATGCAGGCAGCGCAGAAAGGCACTTGACGTCAGCGTCGCAGCTCTATTGGATACGCTCCTCCTTGGTTCTACGCCACCATACAAGGCTTACGGAGATGCGGCGGCTTCAAAACGAACGCTGAGCTCCCGTCGGGTGAAGAGCTACGGGACCATGATATACTATATGCGCGACAAGGAGTGTCTTGCACCGCAGGGAAGAGGCCGTTGGCTTTGGCCAGCATGAGAAATGCATCAAGCGCAAGCGTGTTGGACGAGGCGTGCGCGTAAAAAAGCGATTCGAGCCGACGTCGGTGCTTTGCAAGCAACGCCGCCACCGCTGGGTCGTCGACGCTCTCCGGATCCTTGTTGTTCTCCGGGACCGCAGCCGGCTCGTCGACCACCGATGACGGACTCGGCGCGTCTACGTCAAACGTGCGTCTCGGTGCTATCGCTGCTGGCTGGATGCAGCTGACGTCGCGCCAGTCGTCTTGCAGCGCCGGCGCGAGCGGTCGTTCGAGAGCAAGTTGCGGCCCAATGTCATCGTCTGCGTTCATGAGCGTATCCAGGTGCATGGAGCTCATACTCGAGCCCGCCGAGCTGTGCGCCAGAGACGGCGTACGCTCCAATACGTCCGCTGTCGATCCTGCGAGCTCACTGACTTGCGACGCGTGGCTGCTGCTCAAGGCCGCGAGATCTTCAAGCGTCAGGCTCCTTGAAGGGACTTCACGTCTTGGTGGTGACGCCACATGCTTGGCGTCAACGCAGTCATCATTAGCAATGGAGTCTACTGTGTCGGATGCTTCCCACGCAGCGTCGGGTAATGCCTCGCGCGTCATGAGGGGTAAGTTCGAGTCCATCGGCGGTGGGCCATCGGCGTTGGCTCGACACGGCGGACAGGCACACGCCCCAGTGCAGTCCTTTGCTGCAAATACCGCTCGCCGTACGTCGACCGTGACGGCGTCGAGTCGACGACGCTGCGCAACGTCGCTTGTCGGTGGCGGCGCATCATCGCTCGCGTCTCATCGACCAGGTAGGTCTGTTTGGCTTGCAACACGAGCTTCCACCACGCGATGAGCACGGGCTTCACGCGACGCATCAAGCGGTAGTGGTCGGCGATACGCTTCCCGCGCGTCGCCACTCGCTGCCAGTGCCGAAAGCGCGCCACGACAAAGTGCGCGTCGGCGGCGGCGCGGTGACGCACGCGCGTCACGAGGTCCGACAAACACACGAGTTGGATCTGCATGATTGCGTCAAGGTCGGCGTCTTTCGCCTCCAAGAAACGCTGCCACATACAAAAGCAAGCCCGCAGACGCAGCAGCTGCCGACGGCGCCAATATTCGCGCCGCTGACGCCCGCTGACAACGGTCGTGCGACTCTGGTGTGCCGCCCAGCAGTGCCACGCGACCACACAGCGCTGTTGCGTCCGCACGGCCTTCCAACGGCGCAGCGCCATTCGGAGCCGCGCGCGATAGCTGATATACGCAGCGAGGGCCGACTGCCGAGCGCAGAGGCGGTGGCGTCGCCACAGGCCAAGCGCGCGGGCCATGTGCCGCCGACGGCGCTGCGTGCACAGAGACGACACGAGGCGCTGCGTATACGTCTGCTGATGGGCATGGTGGCGCCACGCGACGAGCACTTGCTTGGAGCGTCGATGAGCGCATCGGTGCGCGTTCAGCCATGCCAACTGCCGGTGGCAAAAAACGCGGCGCCAGACCACGTAGAAGGCAATGCGTAAGCGGCGCTGCACCTGGAGATGCACGAGAGCACCTCGCTGCCGCACCGCACGCTGGACCCGCGTTCGCCGACGCCACGTTCGCCAGTAGACAACGAGCACGTGGCGATCCCGTCGTCGGACGAATACGTCGAGGCGGTGTCGGCGCTGGGTTCTGTCGACACGGTGCTGTCGCCAGTGCTGGACGCTGCGATGCAGGCGCCATCGCAGCACTTTGGCGTGCGTGAACCGCTGGTGCTGCTGGTCTTGCACGCCTTTTTGCCAGCGGCGCCAGAGAAGCGGCAGTCGTCGTTGCCGGCACCACGCGTCACCAAGGTGCTCGAGTCGTTGCTCCAGCGTGGCGGCCTGCCAACGACGAAACCAGTACGCGTGTCTCGGACGGTGACGTTGAAACGCGTCGAGCCGCTGCCGCATCATGTGACTCCAAGTGACATGGTGCTGCCAATTCCGCATCATTCGGAAGAGCAAATACCGTTGGTGCCACTGCGTCGCCGCTCGATGCCGGACGCGGACGTCGCGGTCGCGGTGTTGACGCATCCAAAGCGCCGCGATCCCGGCTCGCAGACGCTGGTGTTGGTGAAATCGGATCGCGATCGCTCGCGCTTGCGTGCGGTGCTGGCGCTGCGCAAGGTACGAAACCCACTGCGCAAAGCGCTGGCGCTGCACTCGACACATATGGGCTGCCGCCGCGCGATGCATGTGCTGGCGCTCTCGCTGCGTGTCGTACACGCGGGCACGTAAGCGTTGAAAGGCGCGGCGCATGGTGTTGCGCATCGACCATGCCTGCACGCGCCGCCACGAGTGGTGGTTGACCGCGAGGCATGTCGACCACTGGTGCCAAGACCGCTGCATGCAACTTGAATGGGCCCACTGGACGGTGTGTCGCGTGCGCTGCTGGTGCGCAACGTGGGCCTGCCAGCAGCGCAAGCTGCGCCGACACCGCCAGTCGTCCATCGCCAGCATCTGCAGCGCTGTCGAAAGACTCTGCGCAGCGCGGGTTTTCCATCGTGTCATGCAGTGCTATAGACATGACCGTGGTCGCCACTTGTTGAGTTGCAGGCGGGAGCTACCTGGAGATACCGCTGGCGCATACGCAAGCGCAGGCGACCCGCGCTCGTGGCTTGGACAAACGCCTCGAACGCTCGCTGCCGGATGGAGCGAGCTCGCACACGCGTCAAGATGCTGGCGGCGCGAGCGTGGCCCAAGACAGCGCGCCAGCGACGGCAGGCGTGGGCGAGACGCAGTGCACCCATGTGCTCGTCAACGGCGCGGACGAAGCGCTCGTGGGTCGTCCATTGCGACCAGCGATTGAGAGACGCATGCACCTGCCAGTCGATCATCGCACGACGCGCCGCCATCGACGCATGTGTCTTTTGCACCTGGGCGTCAACAGCACTGGCCCACGCGGGCAAGGCCAGCGCCAGCAAACGAAGGGCGCATCGCGCGTACAGTACGTTCCAACGCAAGAGCCGCCAAACAACGTGGGCTCGGCAGCTTCGACGCACGGCTGCCAAGATTCGAATGGCGGCGTGGCGCCGACGATGCCGGTGGAGCTTTGCAAAGACGCGCGTGAGGAGACGGCGCCGGTGGTGGCCGCGCCATTGCAGGTCCATGGCCTCCAAACGCTGTGCTCGCCGGACGTGCCGAGTCCACTGCGCGATGGCGTGGTGGAGGCGCCATGCAAGCATTGCAGCAGTGCGATCATGGGCATCGCGGATCTGCGCCACGTACGTGCACCACGCGGAGAGGTATCGTTGGAGACGGCGGGACCGGCCAGGACCGGCGACGCGGCGCTTTCGCCTCGCACGGGCGACGACCTCTTGCCATGCATGCCAGGTGCGTACGAGTGGCATGCGATGGTCGGTAGCGCGACGTGTCGTGGCCGCGACGAGCGGCGCGACGGAAGGTACCTGCTGGTGCGGCCATCCAGCAATCGTCGTCGTCAATGGTGATGCCAAAAGGGCTTTGGACGAAGGAGGACGAGCGCTGTTGCTGCCGCCTGGCAGTATGCCAAGCGAGCTCAGCAGCGCGAGCTGGCGCTGAATCATGGCCATGTCCACGACCGGGCCATCCTCGCCGAAGCCCATGCGGCTTCTTCAAGATCGCGCCAACGTCAGCACGTGATTGGACATATTTCTAAACAATATAGCCAATCAGATGATGCATTAGATAGCTGAGACGTGAAAATGCATGGCTCTTGGTATGCGTCGGGATCCCCAGGGAGGCGCGCGCGATTTTCAAGAAAAATGCATCGTTCGGATCACGATGGATTCTAGTAAAAAATCAAGCGGTGAGTCTAATGCTGCTGTTATCGTGCTCGATATCGCTCGGCATCTACCCTGAATGGTGCAAAGATCATAGGATAGGGCTAGGTCTATGATGCAATTGGTGGATAATGCAGTGATATTTGGCATTTCTTGATTATCGGATTAGACGCAAGAGTTGATTTTAGACCAATCCACGTCGTCTCGACGCCAGCCGAGCTGAGACACTGAATTGATCCGAGGCTAAAGACATGTTTGCCGGCCATCGTGGCACTGCAGGAGCAGCACGAACACCTTGTCCACACACAATAGTCCATGCATGCTTGAGTCAAGCAAGGTTGTACGCTCGACGTTGATAGCGGAAGCACAAGAAGCACGACGTCACTGGATTTGAGATAGATAAAACGACGCAACGTGGTTTAGACCACAATGTACGTCTGCTGCTTGTACTGGACTTCTTCCGGCGCTGGCGCAGCGGGCTGCACGTGCAGCAAGTGCACCATCTCTTCGTCCGTCGGCAGCTGCGCGTTGCGAAGGCACGCGTGGGCCGCGCACAGGAAGACGCTACACATGGCATCGTTGTTCAAGGTCCTCGAGCCTCTGCGGTCCTACCTCGAGCTCAGCGCGTACATCAAGACGGGGCCGCCATAAATGACCGAGAGCACAAGCGACGCTAGGCGGTGGTCAATATACACCAGGTGATGGAAGCGAAGACGTACTGATGACGAGGATCGTGTTGCGCTGCTCGGTTGTCGTCGGCACGCCCAAGAGATACGTCGGGCCCGACCGCAGCGACTCTTCTGTCGCGAGCTTGTCAAAGTAGAACCAGCCTGCGCCGAGGAGCATGAGCACAAAGAGGAATTGCGGCGCCGCGAGTCTACGACCGCCAGCGTTGTTAGCATGCATCCGTAGCGGGCCATGGCGTACGCATTGAGAAAGGTGAAGAAGCCAAAGACGACAGCGTAGTTGGCGATGAAGAAGAGCACGTTGCGCTGGAAGCGGCGCGAGAGCTCGCCGGACGAGTTGGGCAGCGTGTACGGCCGCGAGAGCAGGTCGCCTAGTCGCATCGTCGCCTCATGATGTGCCACTACGGCTGCTCGTACCGAGGCCCGCAAAGGTCTGGAGGTCGCGGATGTTGTCGTACGAGATGAGCGAGAGCGGGTTGATCTCGATCGGGCGTTGCATGTCAGCGCTCATCGACCGGGCGAGCATGGCAGTCTGCAAAATGAGCCGTGCCACGGGTTTCGAATCCGGATAAAATTAGCCAATCCGATGCATGGGCACTTCTTCAACGCCCCGAACAAGATCGGGGCGTGGCGATCGTCCAGCGCCTGCAACAGGCAGCCAGCCGATCGACGACTACCTGTTGTTGCAGCGCTTACCTTGCTAGCACCAGGGCCATAATGTACAGCCTTGATCGCACATACTGTACCTTCATATTCGCATGAACGTCTTCAGCAGCAACCAGCGCTGCAGAATCAAACCGGCCACCGAGGCCACGTCGTTTGGTGACCCATCGCTACTCGATGCAGCACGCGCCATGCGTGCAGAGCTATGCCCGTCTACTCGTTACGTTGGCGAGACAAGATATTTGCCAAGGACCCGAGGCGGCGCGTTCAAGCATAGACAGTCCATCATCTCATGTAGTTTCTTGCAGAACACCTTGCCCGGCTGGGAATTGGAATTGCGTGGCGCTCTTCGGTATCTTACATTAACGGTGAACGCAATCGATGTGCTCGAAGGAGCCAATCAAACGGGTGTGACCCTCATACATTCTTTTCAAGAGAGCCCGTCAAAATCCTGGTCAAAATCCTGGTCAAAATCCTGGTCAAAATCCTGGTCAAAATCCTGGTCAAAATCCCGGAATTTGCGATCGTACTGCAGCATGCGCTGCTGGGTTTCTTCTTTCTCCTGCGCAAGTCCGAGTACTTGCACGAAGGAGACAGACCCGCCATGCACGGCATCCGGGTCAAGGATGTCCGGTTCACCACCCGCTTCGGGACAGTAGCGCGGACGGTGGACGAAGCTCACGAGGTTCGCGTCACGATCCCGAGCTCCAAGACCGATCAACGTGGTGACGGCACGACGCTTCGTCTAGCTCGCTTGGGTAGCACCTGGCTCTGCCCGATTCCAGCGCTGTGGGAGCTGCGAAGGCCAGCACGAGGAGCCGGAGCGGTCGAAGACGACCCCCTCTGCACCTCCTTTGACCAACACAGTGTCGCCGTGCCGATCACGGAGCTCCAAGTCCGTCAGCTTCTCCGCAGCGCAGCCGCAAACGACAAGGAACCGGCAGCCTTCACGACGCACTCGCTGCGTGGAGGCGCCACAGCGCAGTTCCCCGCCCCGCCTCACCCGAGGTGAAGCGGTAATGCAGGCCTCGCGCCCTTTTCCCCCTGAGCAAAAAGACACGTGAAACGTGCGCCGTTGTTCACGGCGTAGGCCGTAAGATTTGTTCAAGTCCTAGGCCGTGAGATTTGTTTGCGACGTAGGTCGTGTCTGGTTTGGTCAAGCCATGCCAGGCCGATGCAAGCGTGTATCGCTGGAGAGTTATGCCTCCAGGAAGCGAGTAGCCCAGAGTCTGTGTAGTCTATGTGTGCGTGGTGTAGATAGGATAGGACGAGGTGCCATGTACGGATGATGTCCGGTGACGCCATTCCAAGGGCACCTGGTGCCCGCAGGGCCATGGTCGGCGTGCTGTGTGCTCTGTGTCTTACGTCTATTGCTGTGTAAGTGCTTGTCGCTGGCAGCGGTCGGTGGTCGCATCGATGGCGCCGCGCTACTGCAGCGGTCGACCCCATGGCCAACCTTCCTACTTCATTTAGCACAGCGCACTTGTACGTCTTGTCGCGACCAAATTCTGCGCGTGGTGCAGAATATCGTAACGACTGCTCAAGCGTATTCCAACTGCCTTGGGAGCGCAGTCCGAAATGATGTCACCAACCGAGACGCTCTAAGATCATGCTCATAGGCGGCGAAAGCAGCCTCAGGCCCGTGCAAAGGTGCTGGAGAACGCCCGTGGCAATTTCGTCGCGCTCCATGCTTACCGAAGAGAGACTTGGTGGGTTGAGTGCTTGCGATATCGTCCATCAAGCTGCCGTTTAGTACACCGCTGCTGTGATCGGCACTCCTGTAAGCGCATGCGAGCCACATCTTAGCACCTCAAAAGTGGCGCCAATCCCACGCCATTTGACGCACCATTTTGACCAATCGAATTCAAGGGATGTCCATGACAGGCTGAAACCGTCGACGGGCGGGACCAAATTGTCTTGCAGTTTGTATGTCCAAAATTTTGCTGGGAGGTAGGTATAATCGTGGCGGCACCACGTGGCTGTCTTCTCTCTCGCGCAAGGCCGGCAGGGACGCATCATTTCGTCTTGTCGCGACGCAGAGCAACATGCCAACCCGCATGCCCCGCGGGAACAACCTCGCCAAGTCGCCGCTCGACCGCATGTACCTGCTCCAGCTGCAGATCCGGGACCTCATCGATCTGCGCAACTTTCGAGGCTTCTACAGCTTCTTTGGCTTTGGTACTCAGCCTCCACGAGTCCAATGGCAGGACGATGCATGTGTGGCTAGGCGACGTCGAGCCCTTCAACGTGCCGCGCGACCGCTGCGAGCTCTCGTGCCGAACACAGTCGAACCTTATGTATTACTCGTCCAACTACTTTATGATCACGATGCTCCTCGGCTTCGAACATGCGTACGCCGTCGCCTTTCTTCGCAAAAGCTCATCGTTCGTAGGCTCATGAACCCCATGTTTATGATCATCCTGACGCTAATTGCGGCCGGATGGGCGTACTGCAACTACCTCACGGCCAACGAGACGTCGGGCAACCCCGTGATCATCCTTGGGGGGCCCACGACCCCGAGCCAGCGCGATACGTGCATGATGCTCGGTATGGCCTCTCGCGATGTATGCGTTTACTCATGAAGAAAATGTCCGCTAGCTTCAGTCATCCTCGTCATCATCTTCGGTGGCCCGCTGCTCTTGTACATTGTGATTGTGAGGTACTACGTGGCATTTGACAGAGTAGAATCTGGTGATGCTGATGACGAGTGACTAGTCTCTTCTTGATCATGCTGCATGCGATCATGCGCAACCAAGCTCTGGCGACATACGAGGAGCTCGAAGACAGATACCATGAGCTCTCATCGTCCTATGAAGATGACTCGCACGGCCATGGCCACCTTATCACGCGCGACGACGAACACCACATTTAGTCACTTTTTGTTTTGTTAAAAATGGCGCGCAATGAAAATTTAGAGCACGGCTGACTCGCACAGGGATGCGCGCATGTGACGTGCGGGCCTGCTATACACCACAATGGGACCCAGACACACTAATCACAGGTCGTTCTGGGATGCCGCACTTGAAACGCGCGCACTGGGATAAAAATTCGACGCCCTTCCATCGCTGTGATTGGCCAACACGAACCAATGAGCGTGCGACAGAGCCACGAGCGTTTCGCTTTGTTCTGTCAAATTGCGAGCGACAAGCAACAGTACAAGACACGATGATGACCGCCGACGACGACGAGATCCTGCCAGCGCCCCGCACCCCGCGCAGACAACGGCCAGCCGCCCTTCGGAAGCTGCGCTACTTCTGGGGCCTTGGTACGTGGCGGCGTCAGCAAGCGCATCATGGTCGTGTAAATAGATGCCCGCACGCCGTTCACAGTCCCGTCTATGGACAGACTCTTGGAGCGTACACAGCGCAACGCCGTGGCCTTTTTCATGAGCTATATCTTCTTTCTTGTCTGCTTCCTCATCGCAGTCCTCGCTGTCGGCGGCTCACTCTGGTTTGCAGCGTGGGCCATCAGGTACCACACCGCCGTCATGGTTGTCATGGCTCGTGGCAACATGGAATAGCAGCTCTCTTCTACACGCAGTCTGCCGCAACACGAGCGCGCGAGATGTAGAGGGTAGCGCAGTGCCCGAGTACGACCGACTTCCCATCTGAAGTCCATCCTGGCGTTGTTTCCGAGCACAGAGGCATGGAGCAGGCTCGACACGACCAAAATGGGGTTAAATAAATGACCTGCATTGCGTTTTAGAGGCGCTCGACCAAAGAAACGTCGAGATATAGTGTGCGTCGGGCATGGTACAGCGCGTAGCATTTTCTAAGTGGGACGGAGCCGGAACTGTTCGAGCGCTGGCAGCAGCTTCTCAAAGCCTTCGAGTACGTCATCCCACGACTAGAGAGCACAGTTGATGCGACGTCCATGATGGCAACAAAGTGTACCTCGGCGCCGCATGCGGTCACAGTGCCGGTGACAAAGATGATAAAGCACACGCGGGGCTCCATCATGCGATAGTAGAGGCCATGGAAGAGCTCGGGCTCGTACTAATGGCGATCGAGATGGAAAGTGTCGTAGGACCGTATGGAGCGTACCGTGCTAAATTGGTAGTGTTCGTTGTGGAGGCCCTCGAGGCGGATGCGATACCCGACGCAGCCGGACGCCGTGACGTTGTGGATCATCAGGTAGTGAATATCTGCATCTGTGTAGCCGATTTTCTAGACACAGCATGCTTCTACGTGCGAGGAAGATGCGTGTATATGGGAATACCTGGACGATGCTGAGAAGGCGGCTGGCGGTCGTCCGGAACGCTTCTTCCGACGTGAGCCCGAGCATGACGACCTAATGCATACCGCCAATGTGCGGTAGCTTGAAGCGAGTCGAAGAGGTCGCCGAGTACCTTGCCAGAGCAGAAGAAGACGCCGGTTGCCTTGGGGTCTTGGAGGCGCATGGACGCGCCGCTGAACCGCTAGAAGACATGGCACCATGAGGGTTCAACGCAGCATTGGACGCAAGCGAATCGTACCCGCGGGTTGTACGCGACGTTGCGCGCCTTGAGCACCAGCTCCTTGAGATCGATCTTGACGCCCAAGTGAAAGGACCCGACGATGTTGGCGATGGTCATCGGTCGCTCCTGGGGTGGCAGCTCCCGCTTGGCCTTCGCCTCGGCCTTCGCCTTGGCCCGCTCGATGGCCTTCTCCTTAGAGCGCTTCCTTGCCAGCGTCATTTTCTCATCCGACGCCAGCATCGTGACCTTGGCCTTGTACTTCCTCTTGGGCGCGGCGGGCTCCGTGGACTCGGCCATGCTTGCGTGGCTGTCCGTGTTTAAACAGTTAACGTAGATTCCGACCAAAGGCGTTAAACAAAAGCAGCCAATGAAAACACGCCAATAACCTTTCGCGCCAGGACAACCATGTGACGACGCAAGGCAAGAAGCTAGGCATCGTCCATGATCATGGCTGCCGTAGAGAAAGGTCGTCCTCCTCCATCCTCCTGGCTATCCTCTTCGAGTCTCTGAGTCGAGATGCTTAAAGGCGGTTAAACGACCCGTCGTATGGCGGCGAAATGAACGGGTTCTATCCGGATGTGTTTTTCCATCAACGATGCATGCGGCTCGTGCGCTTGACAGCAATAGCCACGCTTGCGCTTCCACAAGCCTCTTCTGGAGCAATACTACAGATAACGAGGTAGCGAGGTACATCACGTTCGTGCTGGCGACGGTGCGTTTAAAAAAAACCTGCAGTATGTTTAAACTCTGGCGTGCGATCCACGTTAAACCTCGCCCCGTCCTATCCGGATACGCATGGGTCCACGTGGCGTGGATCCGGACGACCACACCCGGGCGTGGCATTTAACAGAATGCTCAACTCGGTCCAAAGCGCCTGCTACGTGGCGCTGCTGGCGCTCACGGCCGCGTCCAACTTTGTGCTCGTGCCCGTGAACGCGCAGCTCATCATCTCGGCGACGTCGATCGTGTACATTGGCGCGACCTTGAGCCTCAAGCTCAAGCAGAAGCGCGATGCGGCCGGCGAGAAGAACGACGAGGCGATGACGAAGGAAGACGCGTACATGTTTCCGGTCGTCGGCTCGTGCATGCTGCTCGGGCTCTACATCCTCTTCAAGTTCTTTGACAAGGACATGGTCAACCTTCTCTTGACGTCGTACTTTGCCTTGATTGGCACGTACTCGCTCACCGAGGCCTTCTCGCCGCTCGTCCGCGCCGTCGCCTTCTCCGAGACGGAGCGCCACTTCAAGAAGTCGATCGCGCTGCCCTACTTTGGCGCGCAAGTGCTCGACGTGACGCCGTCGTGGTGTGTCACTGGCGTCTTTGCCGCCCTCTTTGCGGCCGCGTGGTTCCAGACCAAGCACTTTGTCCTGAACAACATCTTTGGCATCTCGCTCTCGATCAAGGGCATCGAGTCGCTCTCGCTCGGCAGCTACAAGGTCGGCGCGATCCTCCTCTGCGGCCTCTTCTTTTACGATATCTTTTGGGTGTTTGGCACGGATGTCATGGTGACGGTTGCGACCAAGTTTGACGGACCCATCAAGCTCCTCTTCCCCCGGGCGTTTGCGACGGCGACCGAGAAGGCCAAGTTTTCGATCCTGGGGCTCGGCGACATTGTCATTCCCGGCATCTTTGTCGCGCTCCTCCTCCGCTTCGACGCGCACATGGCCAAGGCCACGACGAGTGGCGACGCATTTCCCAAGCCGTACTTCCACATCAACATTCTCTTTTACGTGCTCGGGCTCGTCGCGACCGTCGTCGTCATGGTTGTCTTCAACGCGGCGCAGCCCGCGCTTCTGTACCTCGTGCCGGCCTGTCTCGGGTCGTCGCTGCTGACAGCCATTGCTCGCGGCGAGCTCAAGGAACTCCTCGCCTACTCGGAAGAAGACGAGGACGAGCCCAAGCCCGCCGAGACGAAGAAGGATCAGTAGAAGCGACAGAGCAGAGATTGCACCACAAAAGTTGACCATAGCAGCGCGCATGCTTTTGTGACTTACTTGGTCTTGGCAGCGTACGCCGCGTAGCTCGAGAGCATGGGCGACACGGCGAGGCGAAAGAGATGCAGACGACATAGCAGGCGAGGCCGTAGATGTCCCACGCCTTGGGCGCGACGCAGCCGCGCCAGCGCACGCGCGTGCAGGGGGACCCGTCGATGACCGTACGCGGCTCAAACTCGACGAGCGCCTTGTACTCGAGGAAAGGCAGCGGCATCGTGACGACTGTGTAGAGCACGGACGCGATCTTCGTAGTCGACGACGGGACGCCGGCGTCAAGAATGCGCTCGCGGACCGCGCCAAAGAGAACGCGGCGCGTGCAGCCGATGCGGCCACGACCGACGCCTGGCGTCTCGAGCGACACGGGCGGCTTGAGCAGCGAGAGTCCGCCCTACGTATCGTCGAATCATGCTACTAGGATGGACATCGTCGTCTACCTGCACCCAGATGCCCTTGATCCAGAGGTCAAATGCTGCGTCGACATCCAAGGCAACGTCGACCTCGAGCGTGTACGCAGGCATGAAGACTGCGCGGCCATCGCTCGTCGTCGGCGCGGCAAAGACATCGTGGGTGGACGGGTTGACCAACTCGGCTGCCATGGTGGTGCACACTCAGATCTCAGATGCAAATTGGTGGAATCGCCGTACGCGATTGGCTCAAAACGACACGTACGCGCGTCCGATTGGTCCGATGGACAAGACTATATCCGGCATGTGCCGATTTTAGACCGAGCTAAGCAGCCCACGCATACCGCTACTACGTTCGCTATAGGTAGAGAGACACGCTCCAAGATGTCCATGTATCCAGGATCCAGGCAAGCCAGCATGTTGTCGGTACCGCCGCCGGTACCAGAGCATGCGTCTTGCATACGATGGTCGAAATCTGCAGCGTGATAAACACGCTCTCCAAGCACAAGGTCATCGAGGAGGACACGAGACGGGTGCCACGATGGCGTGGCGTGTTGGCGCGTTAAAATAGAGTCGTTTTGCTCGGGCTGTAGACGACACAAACGTGATGGTGGGTCTAGACTTCGGCCGCGACGTCAAAGCCCAAGTCGTCCTCTTCTTCGGGGATGTTGGAGTTGCGCAAGAAGGCGTGGGCAATGGCGAGGAACGTGCTACGTACAGCATGAGCCACATGCACATCGCGCGATGGATCTGTAATACCTCACGGAGAAGATGCTAAATAGGACCGAGCCGCCAAAGTACACGACGAGGACGCCGGTCACTAGTCGAATACGAGGATGAGAACATGCAATCTGCACGCGTGCATACCAGCGAGCATGCCCACGTTGCGCTGCGACGCGTTCACGGGCCGACCGCCAACCTTGAACGGGTTCTCTTCCGTCTCGTTGGCCGTGATCTGCGCCACGTAGTACCAGCCCGCGGCAATGCACATGAGGATGAAGAGGAAGAACGGGTTCATCAAGCTACACGCGTCGCATGAGGTGAGAACGGACAGGCTATCGATAGCGTACATGGAGAGAAAGCCGACGCAGGCGACAACAAGCATGTAGTTGGTGGCGAAGTAGAGCATGTTCTTCCGCAGGCGCGAGAGCGCGATCTCCTTGGCCGGGACCTCGAACGGCTTGGGCTCGCCGAGGCCGAAGAAGCTCACGACGCCACGGAGGTTGCGCAGGTTCATGACGTCCTTCATCTTGGCCTTCATCATGGCCATGCTGTTCATGGGCGCGAGCGGCGCCGCGATCGTCTCGTCCTTCTTGCTCGTGCTCATGGTGGCAAATCGCGTTATGAAGACTGGAATAATGTGGTGGACGCTTCTGATTGGCTAAAATCCTAACGACCCTGATTGGATCATCCCAGGCGCAAGATACACTGGATCTTTGTATTCTGAAACTTGCAGTTGAAATTAGGAACTGGCGGCCAAAATAGGACTCCTCGGCACCTGCCACCTCGGAGCCCAAGACAGAGCAGCAGCAGACGCTTGCCGCAGAGACCACGCTGCTGCTGCTGCATGGCTCTTGCTCGCCAACGATGCGAGCACCCAACGGTCGTCTATGATGGAGACAAGCATCTCTCTGTGCGCTTCGTTACTCGTTCGCTCTGCTATACTCGTCAGACGCTGATGTATCATGTTCAGCAGGACAGGTCATATCAATGCCAGCGGTCGCGGCAGCAGGCACGCAGCACACAAGCACCGCCGGTGTCCACGCTGGTCCTTGATGGAGCAGTGCTACGCAGAGCACGCCTCTGGCTCGGTGGCGAGCTGGTGCTACCAGCGTCGTCGATGTTGTGATGAGGTCGTTGTCCACATGCCACCATCGCAGGCAGAAAGGCCATAGAAGCGGCTGCCTCGGCTCTTCAAGGCTTTGCATCTAGAGTCTCTGCCCATGCATGGTACTAGTACACATGCCTTAACACGCCTCGTGCCCAAAGATGCAGGGCCGCAACCTACACGACGTGTTGCGAATTGGTGCACTTCTGTTGCGGTGCCATGACGCGCGCCACTGACGCCTGCGGAAGAAGCTGCGCACGTAGCTACGATGGCGCCGACGCGTCGCCCTGCTCACTGCTGGTGGCTATAGCGACCATGTGCCACCTTGTGCGAGCTTTAAATATGGCAGTGCCGAAAATAGCATCGCCATTTGCGGCTTTCTGGATCCAATAGATTTGCGACGGTCCGGCGATAGGATGGAGACCTCGGATGTCGGCAAGTGGCTTCAGCGCGACGTCAACTGCTTGGCGGACCCGCAGCGCTCGGTGCGCAAGCGGTCGCTCGAGAAGCTCAGCATGGTTGCGGAGCTTTCGGCCAAGTTTGGCCAAGGCCACCTCGTGAGCTTCTTCCAGTCGCACCTCTTTCAGCCGCTCGTCGCGTGCTTCGCCGACCCGATCGAAAAAAACCGCGAGCTCAGCATCCGCACGTGTACCGAGTATGCCAAGTTGGGCGCGATTGCTGGCGACGGGCGGGAGAAGGCGCTTGTCGTCGCGATCCATGCGCGCATCGGCAAGGCGCCGTTTCCCGAAGGCGCCGAGGAGCTTCGCCTTCAGCTGCTCGAGCTCCTCGCACTGGTGCTGCACGGCGCGATGCCCGACGATAGCATTTTTACAACCGCGATCGGTGATGTCATGGAGACCCTCGCCAAGACCGCGACCGACCCGTTCCCGGACGCGAAGAAGGCGTGCTGCGACGCCATCTTGGTGCTGGCCGCCAAGTGGCCGGCGCAGGTCAAGATGCACCTTGCGGCGCTTGCGCGGCCGCTGACCATGAACTTGGGCCATCAGCACGCCCGAGTTCGCCTTTGCACCCTCCAGGTACCGCCTGTGCTCGTATATGTGAACCGAACGACCTTGCGAAACGAATCATGGGTAGGCGCTCGAGACGCTCGTCCCCTGCGGCTCGACGACGCTGCCGGAGCTCATGAAGGACGTACTCTTGCCCAACTTGAGCCGCGTCATGTTTGATCGGTCGGCCGCCGTGCGCAAGCAGCTCGTGCAGGCCATGGCCACGTGGTGCCTCCGCATCGACGAGCTCCGCGAGTTTGAAGCGGCGCTGTTGCCGCTGCTCTTTTCGGGGCTGGCGGACGAGTCGGAAGAGGTGCAGCGTCACAGCTTGCTCCTCGTACAGCAGCTCAGTACGCTCTGGGCCTCGGATCCTTTGAACGCCGAGAGCGATGTGGACGACGCCGACATGGCAAATGTGGTGACGCCGCCCTTCACGGCGCGGCCACCGCTCGGCGCACGCCTCGTGACGCGTCGGCTCCTTGCGCAGCTCTTGCCGTCGCTCTTGGACCAGTGCTCAGACTGGACGGTACACATTGTGCAGCGTGTAGATCTCGCAGTTGATACTTTGATATATCTAGGTCCAGACAAGAGAAAAGGCCACGTCGATCTTGCGCATCGTGCTATTGCTTGTCGAAGACGCCGCCGATGCGCACGTCGCCGCAATCTTGTCGGCACTCGCCAAGACATGCCGCGACGACGAGCCGGTCGTCGTCGCCAGCGTCCAGGCGGCCATGGCGATCGTCGGTCAATTCGCCAACCCCGACTTGATCTTCTCGAGCTTGTTGCCGCTCGTACCACCGAAGCTCGACCATCTGCGGTGTCTCACAGTCCCGTGTAGGCCGCTGGACGGCTCCCGGGCCAGGACACGTCCCACCACCGGACGAATGGCCTCGTGTTGCTCTCCATGGCGATTGCTGGCATGGCGCAGCCGACGATTCTGCCCCACATGGAGGTAGAGAGAGGTTGACACATGTCGGGTGCGTCACGATCCAGTAGCGCATCACGGAAGCGCTCGCGGACGCCGGGTTGCGCGAAGCCGACGCGCCCGAGCTCCAGGAAAAGCTGTCTCTTCTCACGGCAACGATCGTGGCGACGGGTGCACCGCTCTTGGTGGCCCACGAGGCGTGGGCGTTCCGGCTCTTCTGGGTGCTGAGCCAAATGATTGCGTCGACACCGGACGACTCGATTGCGTTCGACACGGTATGCTACGCGTACGCTGCCTCCTATTTTTGAGTCCATGTACGCAGGCCATCCATGGGCTCGTCGCACTCGCGACCGCACTCGAGCTCGACGTGCCGGTGCGTAGCTCGCACAATCGTGGCGGCCACCGCTAAGAGAGGAATCCTCATTTGCGTAGGGACTGTACCGTCGATTTCTGACGCCGCTCGTACAGACCATCGGCGCCAACGACGTTGTGTGGTCCAAGGCGTCGCCGCACCGAGTGCTCTTCGACTCGATGGCGCGTCGAGGCGGCAAGGTCCTTCGCTGCATCGCTTTTGTCGTCTATTTAACACGCGATGTAGGCATGTGGCGCTGCGCTGCCAGTGCTCCTGCCGGTGCTCCTGCGGCACCTCGACCCGGCCCGCGAGGCTGACGTGCGGCTCGCCTTCTTGGCGCTCCTGGAGACGATGCTCGGAAACCCGGAGATGGCGCCCGTACGTTCTTGCTTGATACTGTGGTTGATATTGTGGTTGATACAAATGGTGTCGCTAGGCCTTTCAGCCGTTTGCGTCGACGGTCTTGGTCAAGGCCATCACGCCCAACATTGTCTGGCAAGGCGGCAAGGTCGCGGCCACGATCCGGTGCGTATCTATCAATGTGTCAAGTAAAACACTGGATTGTATTCGGTAGCAAGGTCGCGATGGCGTGCACGTACACGCTCTTGCGGCAGGGCTTGGCGACGACGCCGTGTCTGTTTGAAGCCGCGCCGGTCATGCTACCCGTGCTCAAGGCCGCGCTGGACGACGGCGATGCGAAGACGCGCCAGCTCGTGTGTCTCGCGCTGCAGTTCCTCTTTGTCGCGCTGCCTCAAGCGCTTGGCCGTGAGCTTTGTGTTTTTGAAAGATTGAAAGATTGAAAGATGGGATGTGTAGAGGAACCCGTGGCCCAGCTGTACCACGATCTGCTCAAGCGCCTCGACGACAGCAACGACTTGGTGCGCAAGGCCGCGTGCGCGACGTTTCTCGAGTTTCTGCGCGCGGCGCCACCAAGCCATTTCCAAGGCACCATAATCGACTACTCGATGGACGCACTCTTCGTGCACCTCGACGACAACGACAGCGAGATCCAAGCCGCGGTGTTTGCCGTGCTTCTCGAAACCAAGCGCGTGGACGCGACGCGGCTGCGCCAAAAGGCTGCGGAGAACCGGAGTCGTCTGCGCAGCCCGTACTACTGCGACCAGCTCCTGCAGTAAGCGCCGTCATATTCGTCGCACGCGGCCACTGTATAGCACCTCGTATCCCTCTTCTGCATTGTATTCTTACCAGGTAATACCAATGTTGGAGGGAGGAAGAGTGCAATGGCCGTTAAAGAACGCAGAGGAGAGAGAGAAAACACGGTGAAGCGGAGAGTCGTTGCAGCTCTCGCAAAGCAGGTTGACCCATTGTCGAACACCTATTATATGGCCAGACAGGTCGTCCCAGCGTTCACGCCAGAGGTACGGGGTTCGAGCCCGTCCGTGGCGTTCTTTTTCTTCTCCTATTTCCCATGGCTGCTGGTCACGGGGCCCGAAAGCATTGGGTGTAATAGCATGGCACGTCATAATATCCGAGTCGGGCTCCAAGAAAAGTTGATAAATCGATATCCAGTCATGTCTACTCCTCGTCCTCATCTGAACCATCCTCATGGTCGTCTTCCTCTTCGTCGTCGTCGTCGTCGTGCAGCGTAAAGGACGCCTCGGAGCTGCTCCCGTCGCTCTCGTCCGTGCCCATGAGCGGAGGCACGTCGTCGCCCAGCGACAAGGCTTTTCTCGGCGGCTCGACATAATCACGTCGCGCCCGGCGCGGCCCTTCGTCAATGATCAAGCTCGTGTCCATACCGTCGAGCTCCCGGGCCAAGTCACGCTTGCGCTTCATGGCGGCCACATCGTGCTTGCCGGGGTACCGCCCTTGCCAGCGCACGTTGGCCGCAAGCAAGCGATCCCGCACAAGGTCTTCGGCGGCGGCGAGGCTCGGCGCCTCCCGAATCTTCTTGTAGATGGCCGGCCTACAAAAGAGGTCGATCGTCATGGGTCGCATGACGAGGCGTCGTACGCGAGGACGCCGGCGGTGCGGGCAAGGAGCTTGAGCTGCTCGAGACCGTCCGAGGCCCACCCGGCGTCGGCCGCGGGCTTCTTGATCGCCGCCGTCTTGCGCTTCTTGGGCGCCGGCGAGGATTCGTCGTCCGAGGACGCAGCGCGGCGACTTGTGGCACACTTTTTCGTGCTGGGCTTCTTGACGGGCGTCGCGTTGTCGCTCTCGTCGCTGTCACTGGCAGGTACACGACGCTTGCTGGGTTTCGATGGCGGCGCGTCCGAGACGTCGCTGTCGGCCGACGGCTCGGGCTCGCCTTGGCTGCTGCCGGCCTCGTCGTCCGAGTCTTGCACGATGTGTTTGGTCTTCTTGGCGAGAGTCTTCTTGGCAATTGTCTTCTTGCGCGGCCGGATATCTTCATCGTCGTCGTCGCTGGCGGTGGCGAGGCGCCGTGCTTGCACAGATGCAGCATGTCGGGCGCGATGCTTTTGACCATCGACTTGATGGCCTTGCGCTCGTCGGCGTCCATGTCCATTTCGGTCTCGAGCGCCTTCATGAGCGTGGCCACACTCACATCCGCGTCCATGCTCGGAAGAATCCGGCGCAGCGTCGCCTTGAGCTCCTTCGAGGTCAGCATGTCGCCACTCGTTCTGCACTGGCGGGAACGCTACGGCTGCGTATCCGGATGCTCCCGGTCAGATCGCACTACCCACAGATGGCGCCAACGCCCATTTTGGCGGCGGACCAACCGACCGCCCACGCGCCTTGTTGCTTGCAACGAGTCCTCCTCTTGCAGTAGCATGCACGCCTTCAGCATCAAGGTGGTCACCGTGGTCGTGTACGAGCGTACTAATGGTAGAGTCGAAGGGTGGTGTCCTCGTTGATAGAAAATGCTTTTATGAGTCGCGTGCGAGCCACACGGGCTCGTCGTTCGCAAGGCTCGTTGGATAACAAGTGCCAAAGCTCGGTGCAGGCGTCATCTGCGGCGCTCGCTTGGCGAATTGCGCTGTGAGGCCATTCGCCAGGTGCACGCGCTCGGTCGCCGCGGCCATCTCGTCGGGTGACAACCCGGACGCGGTCGTGTCGCCAGCGCCAAGCGATCGCAGCCATGCTGCTGTCCACGCCAACGAGACATCGACGACGCTGCCACCAGCGCCGTGGAGCTGCGCGTGGAGCGCCGAGAGGACGCCAAACGCGAGCAAATGGCCCGTCGCGTGGTCGAGGCCTTGCGTGGGCAGCGCCCGCGGCGCCGACTCGCCAAACGCCGCGGCTTCGTCGTCGTTGATACCGGTGGCCGTCTGGAGGAGGCTGTCAAAGCCGCGCTTGCCGCCCCACGGGCCATCGGCCCCGTACGCCGAGCATCGCCCGAGAACCAAGTGCGGGTTGAGTGCGAGGAGATCGTCGGCGCCAAAACCCTTCTCGCTCTTA